ACGAGACCTGGTGAGCTTTGTACTCTACAGTGGATTGTGATAACATTGAATTCCATTTGCATGCCTTTTATTTTTAGAATGCAGTGTTCAGGATATGAAAAACATAGCCACAATTTCTGTGAGGTTCTATTTTCCCACCCTGCTGTTTAATTTTAAAAGACACTGCACCATTTAGTTTCTGGAGTAAGTATCTGTGCTTCTCAGTGGAAGAAGAAAGAATGGGAGACAGGTATGATAGAAGAGTCTTGTCCTGTAACCTGCCCCTAAAACCTTTTCTTTTTTTCACTTGTCTGTGGATCTTCCCAGTACTGTTGGAAATTGTCACTGCTTACTATGGGACCTGTTATGATCATACTTGTAGTAAGATCAGCAAATTAAAACTGATACCCGGCCATGGCTTTTCTTGCACTTTGACCCACCTTTTGAGCTTGGGAAAGTAACTGGGGATGTGTTTCAGGGATGAGTAAAATAAAACCCTGTGGCTTTTGGACCACAGATACTTCCTTCACAGATACTTCAACACACAGAATCAGTGTTCAGCTCTGGTCTGTATGGAACCAGAAACCCCCACATAGCACTGATTTGCTATTTTTTTAGCAATGCATATTTTTGTTTTGATGTTTATTTTAGTCAGTAATGTAGCAAGCATAGAGGTTGTTTCTCTTCACTAATTCATGTGATTGTCTTGAGGTCTTTTAATACCTTTTGGGTTTTGGGTTTGTTTTTGGTTTTTTTGTCATAAAGATTTGATTCTTAAGCAAGGACTGACTACCACTGTGCCCAGGCGCCGAGGTTCTGGAAAAGGTTAGGTTGTCAGTAAAATGTAAATCTTAGGGTGTAATAAAATGTTACAGTAGGAGATGCTGTGCAGTATGAAAATCCAAGAGTTTCTGGTTTTGATGCCCAGAAGGCAGTCCCCAAGGTCTGTTTGAACTGTGTGGAAATGAAGGACAGCTGTGCCTTTTGTGAAAACAATATCCGTGAAATGCTGCCATGTGTTATTGTCTAATCCTGACTGTTGACTTCAGAGAGGAAGGGACATTTCGTGGTTAAGGCACAAGACTCCAGGTCTGGGAGTTCTCAGTTGTGCTGGAAGCTTCCTTATATGACCATACAAAGGATTTTTCTCCCTGTCCCACATGGGGTATGGACATCTCTTCTGCTTGTTTCATGTGCATAGGGATGGGCTCCTGTTGCCATACTGTGCCCAACCTAGCTCTAATTACAACAAAGGCATTTCAGCCAGACCTGTTGGGTTTGGGGGTTATTTTCATGGTTTACAAGCAAAAGTTTCTGTTCTCTGCTATTGCTCCTGTGACGTCAGGACTGAAACTGCAAAAGTAGTCTGCCATGGGGAAAGGCTGTCTCAGTATTATTTCTGCTGACTATCCCACCACTGAGTCAGCAAGATGGTTCACATCAGTTTTGATAGTCTTTTGACTGTGTTTGCTCAGTCTGACCTCAAGTTTATCTCCTCCTTGGTGCTTAGGGCTTGGCTTGCTTGCTGGGGCCTGTGGTTTCAGCCAGGAGGATGAACCCTGTGCTGGGAGTGAAGGAGCCTGCAAGGCTGCAGCTCCCTTGGTTTCCTGTTGAAGATGAAGGGGATGGGCAAGGAAGGGCTTCATGTCCATGTCAAAGTATGTGGAGAGATTGGTCTCCAGTGCGTTGTTCTGTGTCCACCAGCTTGCAGTGACTGATTGTAATGATGCTCTTGTCCACTCTCAAGCAAGAGAGGAGACACAAGTTGTATCATGTTTGAGCTGACATTTTGTCTCATGTATTTCAGTAACTTGATAGTGTTTCTAAATTTTTATGGCAGGAAAATATTGCAGTAATAGGCCCGTGGTGGTAAAATGTATTCTTCCACTCCAGGTGTTGGCATTATTAAAAAACCTTGGCACTAGCCTTCAGAAGACTTACCTGTTTCTTTTGCTTTCTATTTTGGAGGGTTTTTTCTAAGTAATGCTCTTTTGTTTCCTGAGGCCCTAGTGGGCAAGCAGTCATCTTGGATGGCAATGGCTGTTTTCAAGAAGAAGCTTCTGTTAAACGTTGACTTTTTAAAGTATCCAGAGGGAGAACTTAGATGCATTGCAGTGTTCGGTACTTTCTGTTGTGTCACGTGCAACCTGTTATGCATGCCTCCGTAACTGAGAGGGATTGCTTAAGACACTGACCCACAAGTCCTGGAAGTAGGACCAGATGGGGTGGGGTACAAAAGGCTGGCTGTGTGCTTAGGGCACTGCAGCCAGGACTGAGGTGTTGGGATTTTGGTCCCTTAGTCTCACAGAGCTTTCACCTGTGGTCTTGGGTAGTGATCATGGCTTCATGATCAGCTGTCTCGAAGCCAAACACTGCCCTACAGTTCTGGTAACCTTGCTCTATTTCTTTCATGGTTTACTCCAAATGATGATGAAAACTCGTTCAGATGTTTATAGGAGTTCCTTGGAAGGCAGCATTGATTTTCAGCAAATTCTAGTGCTAAGACAGTCTGAAAATGCTTGGCATGACAAAAAAGGCAGGGGACGAATGCTCTGCTAATTTTGGGCTGGTTAATTACAGCTGTGAAAGATGGTGACCTTGTTACTCCCCCTCATGATTACAGACAGGTCAGCAGGAATATCAGTGTAGTTCAGGTTGCATTCCTGCAATTGCCTATAGAATATGATATGTCCCTGACCAAGAAAATCATGGTTCCATATGGCAAAAAACCTCCAACCCAAACCCAGATAAAATAGACTAGCCAAGCCAAGGAGCACCACATTGCTGAGAAAACAGAAAAGTAGAAGAATTATTGCTTGGCTACCTCTTTTTTTTTTTTTTTTTCCCATAAGACATGTGGCCCTTTAAGAGAAGCTTGAAAAATATCTTAAGTAGGGGCAGATTCAATGAAAAAGCTTGCAAACATCTGATCTCTGCATGGCAGTGTGCCTTCAGTCAGCCCCCCTTTGTCCATTTGATTTTCTGAACAGTTGATGATCTCACCAGAAAATAAACAAGCTGCAGAAGTGTTTAAGGATTTTGGCACATGTAGGAAGTAACCAAGGAATCAGGGTGGGGGAAGTTTTTCCTCTGCTTGCCGTGAAGCAGGGTGCTTTAGCCTCTGCTGGAAAAAGAAGGATGGTTTTATGTTGTTGCAGGAGCCAGATCTTTTCCAAGCCTTTTTCTTGGGCAGGGAGTGGAAGTGATGGTGGATTTTGCTAGTGGGGCTCAAGTGGGGCATTTGCACGGGGTGCTCAAAACCAGCATATTCATGAGTGGTCTTGCTGCGTGGGAGAGAGGAAGGCGAGGGAGACACTTTTGCCCCAGAGTAACCTCCGCCTTGCCTCAGCTGAGGCGGGTGATTTACTTTTTCGAGTGGAACAAAAAGGCAACGGGGAATTTGTAACTGGATATGTAGATGAAGGAGCAATGACCGTCAGTAACCCCGTGTACTTCGTGCCGCAGGAGCAGAGCGCGTGGTTCCTCCCGTTGCCGGCTCCTCCGGCAGGATCAGCCTGGGAGGCAGAAGTGGCACCGGAACTGCTGGGTCTCCCTGTCACCTCCAGTGGCACCCCGAATGCACACCATACTTCTTGATGGGGCCCATTAGTGACAATATCACATGCCCAAGCTAAGCCATAGCCAACCAACAAAAAATAAAATCCAAAAAAGAAAACAAAACACCAAAAAAAAAAAAAAAAAAATCCAAACAAACAAACAAAAAAAAACCTCAACCAAAACACAAAAAACCGAGCCAAACCATAAAACCCCTCCTGCACAGGAGGTGGGGGAAGAGGTTGTTACAGCTGTCTCCTATAAGAGGGTAAAAGTACAAGCCCCAGAATCTTTCATATCATTACTTTCTCTTTAGAGCTCATTGTTTTCCACTATTTGCTCTGGGTTGCAGCATCCTATCTTCCTAAAGTACAAAATACAGCATGACACCTAGCTAGTTGTTGTCCCTCAGTCTGGAAATCTTCACTCTGGTAAATCCTATAGGACTTGGTCTCTCACCTCCTCCTGGCATAGGTGTTTGCTCATCACTTCTTGTTTAAGCATTATGGAGATAGAATTGTCCTCTCTCTCTCTCTTAAAGAAAACCGCAATAACAAAAACCAAACAAAACACCACTCCCTCCCCCCCGCCCCAAAAAACCCCCAACCAAACCAAAGAAACCAAAACCACAACAACAAAAAACACAAAAAAACCAAACCCATGCTCAAACCCCAAGAAAACAACCCAAAACAGTGTCAGCTCTGAGTATCAGCTTCTAAAGATCCAGTTTTGTGGACATTAGTGTGCTTGGATTATAATTTCCAGATGGTGCCCCTTTGCTGTGATGTAGGTACAAATTTGTTTTAAAGTCAAGAGCTGAAACGCTGATGGCTTGAGAAGGTGAAGCACTTGGGAAAGAAAATGGAAATAATGCTGCAAATGTATTTTTTTAATTCCAAGTAGCTAGGATTTTTTCCTAGATCTGTGATTCTGTGTCATACCTGTGTGTCTGCATATGTCAGACTTTGAAATTAATGGTAGAGTACATCAGCTGTTAACATAATTAACTAAAGGCTAGTAAATCCCTTAGTGGTCCATGCACCAGCTCAGTCCCATGTTCAGTAACAACACAGGGATTAAGTGCTAATGCTGTAGCAGGTTTCAGATCAAGGGAGCAACTTGGTGTGCCTTGTTTCTGTGTATTTATGAGCAAATTGACCTGAAGTAATGATGTTAATGGGAGTTGGTTTTGAAGGTTGATTTAATGGGAGTTGGTTTTGAAGGTTGATTGCTTTTTTTGTTGTTGGTTTGGGCTTTTATTTGAGACCAAGACATCATGGATTGACATTTCTGAAGCCTGCCAAGTTTCAGAGCACTTTACCAGCAGCTCCTCTTCCTTTTTGCTATGGTTTGTGTAATTCCCTCTCCCCTATTTATCAGCTTGACTTTTCCTGTTCAGTGCTCTCACATGAGTTTCTTTTTGGCTTTGCTGTGACCAGAATTTTGCTTGTTTTGTCATTTTCCAGACTTGAAACTTCGGGATTTCCTGATTGACAATGAGACATTCTCTGACTTCCTCCATCATAATATGTCTATGCCATCATCTGCAGTAGAGGAGCTACTGGATGCAGGGGTCAACCTGCAGCAGGTAAAGAGTACTTTCAGCTCCTAACATAATGCTTGTCTATTGTTTGTTTAGCTGTAGTGCCAAAATCCACAGTGCTGGACCCCTCTGTGCTATGTGCTGTAGAAACACAGAGAAAAATATATTCCCTGCTTTTGTCTTTCGACCTGCATAAGAGAATAGTACCCTCAGGCTAAACTGAATTTCTTCCTTTTTCTTTTCTTTTTTTTTTTTTTTTTTTTTTTTTTTTAATGGAAGTAAAACATTAATTAAGCTGCTAGCACTGTTCTGACTGTTTTCAGCCACTCAGCTTGGACTGGAGCAGGATTTCTAGGTCTTGCTCTGCCTTACATTCCTGTGCAGCAGAAGGAGCTCTACTTTCAGGTTTGTGGCCCACGCATTAAGAAAGACACATCCTGAGTGCTCCATGATTGCAGTCATAAACATAGCCAGTGGGGACAGTGGGCTAGAGCCCTGTCATGTGATGGCTAGCTGTCATTGTCATGCTTGTAACATGTTTTTTGCTAGGCTTGATGAATTAGTCCCCCAGCATCCTTTCTAATGCAGAAGTCAGAACAGACTTCAAAGAAAGACCCAGGGTTCTCTTGAAAGAATGCAAAAGGTGGTATGCAAAAGGAGGAGAAAATCTGTTTTGATCCTCAACTCCATATCGGATCTCTTCATTGAAGTGGAATGGATTAATTGTTGTTTTAGTCTTTGTTTTCCTGTAGTTACAAATGCTGTCCCTCTTTGCACACATTGTCTTGTTCTTCAGTGAATTCTTTCAAGCCATCTATTGTAGTGCAATTTGATAAGTTATCCTGCAAGTTAAGGACACATTCTGCTAAAAAAATGTAAAGCAGAGAAAAAAAAATCGTACCCGTTTTAGGCTGCAAGCTTTGTTTTACTTTAATTAGATTAAGACACAATCATACTACAGATGAGTCTGGGAGGGTAGCTGGAAGACTGAAGCAACAGCATTCTTATAATTCTCCCTAAGTTAGTGAAGGGGCAGAAAGATTTTCAAACAGGCAGAAACCACAAAAAAACTCACTGTACGTTGTGTGACTGACATGCTGTATTGGTTGTATATGGAAATGGAAGGAGGCAAAAAGCTTAGCTTCTGTCTACATAATGTGTCTGAAGGGTGGTGAAAGACTGGTCAGTCACCTTATTCTTCCTTGAGTGCTTCAGACTGTGCTCTTGTGTAATTTCTGAGCTGATTCTGCTAAAGTACTGGGAGTGATGCTGCTAAGTCATAACAGCATTCTGTGCTTAGGGATGGCAAGAAGAGCTAATTTGAGCACCAGGATGTTAAGCTATGGGACAGAGCAGTGGCTCACCAAATTTTGTGTGAGCAGTTTTCTAATACAGATGGTAACTAGACATGCAGACCTCTCCCTTCCTGCAGAATTACTTTATCTGACTCACAGAATGGACGTCTTTGATTTTGCTGGAGATCTGGTTTGGAAATCTGACCTCACTGCTGAGCTGCCTAGTGACTTCAGTATTAATAGGCAGTATTTGTTAGGTTTCTGAATGAGTGGGTCACAGCTTCATTCAGAAGTCATATAGTAAAAGGGCCTATCCAGAGTATGCCAACCTTTCACAGCAAATACAGCCTGCTTCTGCCTTCTGTTGGTGTCCTGGGGTTGTTCAGCGAGGCCAGAAGTTATGCTGTGCCATCAAGTAAGGAACTGGAGTCTCCAAGGAGATGGGACTGTTCAGTGGTGTTTCTGTAATGACAGCGCTGTGGCATATCCAGCAGGGCTGTGTATCTAGCATACTGAAATTAATGCAAACAGGTAAAAGCAACCAAAGCCTTGTCTTGATGGGCATGTTGCTTCCTGGGGCTGAGTGACTCAGCCTTGTGTTTTTCCAGTCATGGCAGGTGTGCTCAGAAGGGTGTGGGATTTGGAAGGTGCTTGGGTCAGCAGTGGGCAAGCAGCTGTGTAATCAAGGCTGGTATGCTACTGTTGTCCAGGTGTGGCCAGACAGCTCTTGTGTGGCTTGGAGGTGGGAATAGGTCCTGTCCCTCTGAAAAGCTGAAGGCACATGAAATCCTGGGCCAGTGCTGAAGCATGATGCATTGATTATCAGTGAAGAGTAAATAGTATGGCCAGTGCATATTCTGCTTGGAACAAATCTCTGTTTCATGAAGCAGGAAAAGTCCCAATGAGAGAATTAGATGACATGTAAGGACAGAACAATTACCTATGACTACTTTCAGGCATGAGCCTTGCATTTTGAGAGTCCTTAGGGAATTAAATCTGTCATTTAAGGTGTATTTTTGCCTGCTGAAGGCACCATGGGTTCAGATGACTGCAAGTGGTTAGAGAACTTGCTGACTTGGTGAGACTGGGTGCTTCAGGATGGATAGGTAGAATGCTTTTTCTAAGGTCTCATGCTATGGACCTCAATGCTTCAAAAGGGCAGCCTCTCACCCAAAGAGCCTAAAATCTGGGTGAAAAATGTGGACATTTTCAGAATGGTGGAAGTTGCTCACCTTCACTTTTTGTGAGTGAACACTGAGGCACTGGGAGACACTGGTTTTTCTATATGTCCACCCAGGGAAGCTTGTTCCGGGAGTGTTATTTCAGTGCCCCACAAATATCTCCTTTTCAGCATGTCTATAACACTCATAATAGTATCTCTGCTGGCAAGAAAAAAAGCACCCCAAATTTTCAAAAGGCAAATCTTTTTGATGTGAAAGCTGTTTGGCATTGAAAGATGGGGTTTTTGGCATATGGATACAGAGCAAAGTTAAAGGTTTGCATGCGTATTGCATTAAAAATCCCTTCTCTCTCCTGTCAGTTCCATTTGCTTGCTTCCTGGACGTTATGCAGTTTTTCCCTCAGATTATGCATACCCGTTTGGTTTTGACAGACAAAAAGTTTAAGGCTTACCAGCCTGGTTCAGAAGCTGCTAACTCTTCTGGAATGTAGATCAATCCTCTTTAGCTGTTGAGAGTTGGGCAACGCACACCGGGTCTTATGAAATGACAGAAAGAAGAAATTAAGTATACAGCTGTTACCTGTGCATTTACAGTCCATCTGTCTAGCCCCAAGGCAAACAAAAGTTTCTTTCCAATAGTAGGCTCCTGATTTTTTTCCTTGTTTATCATCTTTAAGAAGTACGCAGCTTTTTGGCATGGACTTTGCTGTTCAGCAAACATGAAGCTGGTAACTGACCTTATTAAAAGACTTTGTTTATCAGGTCTGAAACAGTCTCATGATAACTCTGAGGCATTTTATCAATTTTGTTAATAAGGTGATTGCATATGGATTAGGAGACATTATTGACAAGGAAACCATTACCTTAAGAAAAATATGTCTGTGAAGGAAGACTCTAGGATCTTATCTCATTTGTTGCAGCCAGTAAGATAACTTTTTTTTCACTGATACATTATCTGCTCAAAACCACTGCAAAACGTTTGTCTCAGCAGTTAGTGAGTAGATACTTCAGAGTTCAGGGAGATGATTCTGAATCATTACTGCTTAGAAAATGTGACTGGCAGATATGTCTTAAGTAGTTTGGGACATAGGTCTTTTGCCCTTCACATAGATTTGCCAGACTTGTCTGGTCACAAGCCTTGTTTTTTTCTCTGTGGCTCATTTCCCAGAAGACTGAATGTTAGGCAATGCATGTACCCTTGGTTGGAGGAAATGGCTGCTGTGGAGGACAGGATCATGGCTGCTTTGTGCATATTTGAGGGAGAGTGAAGAGAGACCTGCCTCCCCCAGGACTTCTCTCCCATGTTCTCAGCAGGGAAGGGATTTTCTTGGAACTGAGTTGCATATGAATCAGGGCTACTCAACCTGTAGGGAAGAATGCCCCCTGACCTCTATCTGGAAATGTTATGAATGGCTTGCTTTTTCTGAGCAATAACCAATGTTTTTTCTTGAAGTCTTAGATGAAGGCAGACTTACATGCTTTTCCCACTTTCACAGGTCATTGTGTCTGGTTATCGAATGCGACTGAGAGATCTCTGCAATAGCTCAGCATCATCTGAATTTCTTATGATCCAAAATCAGATGGCAGCCATGGACTCTGAAGCCTTCATTTGCACCTTGTCAAAGGAAAAACTCCATGCAGCCGAGCAAGCCTTCCGTGCTAACCTGAATCCTTTGAAGCCTCTTCAGGTGAGTTCACTGGGCGCACCAGTGAGAGTCTGTCATTGACACAGTGACATTTTCCATGTCATTCAGTCTAGGAATTCATCCCTGTATTTCCAGAACTGCTTAGAGACAGTTAGAAAGAAGAAGGATGGTCGGTCTTTGTTATGGGAGCATGAGCAACATGCTTCTTCCCGTCATTCTTACCCCTCTTCAGTCTGCTACTTGCACAGCATAAGTGTGTGTGGTCTGGAGTTCAGTTTGTTTGAGGAAGGTCTTTAAGATGCACAGTAACAAACAGGCTCTTGGTTGTCCCTGTGTTCTAGTCAAATATTGTATCTTGGCTGGAAAGAGACCAAATATGAGCCTGGCTTTTGCTGAGCACTAAAACTACCACCCTCTGCCCTTGGCATGGGGCCACTGAGTACAGAAGTTTCTAGCCACTGACAGGCCACAACCTTTAAGGAGGTTTAAATCGTATGAAGCTGAGTCAAATTTTAAATTCCTGTTTCAAAAATCATCCAATGGAATGGGGTATTGGGGGAAGAATTCATTGAACTTCAAGAAAACACATTATTTACAGGGTAACTGGAGACTAGAGTAGGTTGGATCTAGGAAAATCCAATATTGTTTTGCTACAGATCTGCAATATCTGTTAAAATATGGAAGTTTAAGGAATTCAGTGCTAAGAATGACAACAGAGTGAAGAAAGGATCACAGAACCAACCCTGTTACCCACTATAACAAATATTCTATTGTCTGCTGTGTCAGATTTCAGATTTGATGAGTCTTTCAGTACTCAAAGCCATGTACCAATTGCTTGGCTTCGTCTGTAGCCAAAGAGGGCCATTATTAAGCACTGGAATCATATTTCTCTCCTGCACACTATGTAGTGGTCAGTGACTTCTTCTCTCCACAGTTCATCTTCTGTTTTCCAAGTGTCCTCCATCTGCACTTTGTCTTTGCTGCTGGACAAGCAAGACAACCCATAAGCAATAAGAGATGGGGTAACAGCACTAAAATTGTAACAGAGATGGACTGTTTGGAGAAGACTCACTATAACTTCTTACTTGTCTTCAGTTGTATGTGTATATGCACATATATACATAATTTACTTTAAACCACTCAAAGGTACTAGAGTTCTGCAGTCTGAGTGGGCTGGAAATAGACAGCTATTGTATCACTCAGAATTGCTTTTCTGGGTCCTGTGAAGACTGTCTTGCTTTTCTTATTTATGGAAGCTTCTGCAGCTTAGCTGATAGAAGCAGGTAACTTAGTGTCTGTGTTCTTAGGTCTATATTGTTTGTTGGTGAAAGGAAACATTCATAAGCCATTTTGTGCCTCCTGGCAACAGCAGTATAGATTTAAGACATTATGTGCAGTTTTGGGGGCCTTCTGAGAAGCTGGCTCATGAGCTTGTCTTTAAGGGGAAAAGAACTGGAGTCCAGAAGCCAGCAGTTCTAAACCTGCTGTGCATTATTGTCTGGTAAAGGTCTACAGAAATGTGTCACACTGTATCCAGTACTTAAGAGCTGCTGTAGTGAATCAGTGAGTGAAACAAAAACTAACTGGCTTCTGTATGGCCAGACAAAATGAATACATTAAGTGTGGGATCACAACCAACACATTTGAAACTTAGTGTCTTTAGAGGTTAAAAGTTGCTCTGACCTGCAGTAACATCCTTGAACAAAGAGGGAACTTTCTGCTCATGAACAAAGGAGGTTTTTGACACAGCTTATTGAAGGCATTGTATGTCAAATCTTGGACATGTACTCTGAAGATAGCATGCTCTGTATCTACTACAGAGTCTGTAAACCAATGCCAGCAATTTGTCAAGATATTAATTTATTTTTTTTCTGAATCTCTTTGATGTACTTCACAGCAAGGCATTTCAGTAAGCAAAGTAAGGGCCAAGTCCAATGCAGGTGCAACAGCAATTTGGAGACAGGTTTTTAGCTTGTGTAATTGGACATGACCTTCACTGATTGCACTATAAATTTTATGATTTATGGAGAGGCAGCACATTAGTACAAGAAGGTTAATACAAGGGCTTGTAATTGTGTGCAAGAAATTCAACACCAAGGGCTTGAATTGTAAACTGGAAATTTGTGCCTCTCTGATATCTGGGCAGTTAAGTGGCTACGGTTTCTTGAAATGTCTTAATACGCAGGACTTAGCCTGACATCCACCTGCTTGGTTTTTTCCCCCTCTTCATTCCTGTTTGTTATTCTCTCTGCAAGATGATGCAGTAAATTTCATCATGGAATTGATCCGGATTAAAAGTGATTGACCTGATTGTATGTTTACACAAATATTTATGCTAAAACATGAAGGGTAGAGGGCAAGATTTAGAGCCCTATGATCAGGGAATGAGTGTGTGGGCTGAGTCCCTGATGATAACACTCAGTTCTGGCTTAAAATGTGTGTACATTTGCAGCCTCAGGGAAATGCTAAATGTTGTAAGTAGCTCTCAAAAATGCAGTAGTTACTAGCAAATTATGGACAGATCAAGGTTTTAAAAAATAAATTAAAGTGCATGCATGATGAAATGCATGAGCTCTAAATGTCACAGCACTGCTTTTATAAAAAGAAAGGCAAGGAATAAACATTTTACATACCTGCTCCTCAGTTCTATCCAGAGCACCTTCAGTGTTGCCCAAAGGGCAGTGATACAGTTAAAACAAGAACTTCTAATTAAAATTTTACACTAGAATTCTAGCTCTGTCACTGATCTTTTGTACTGCATGAATTTAGCCTGTTCTGTAGGATGCAAAAACAGAGCCAAGCACATGGAGGTATGGTAGGGAGGTTAAAGTCTGTTTTCTTACTGTTTTTTGTCTAAGAACCTACTTGAAGCAGGCTGTTCAGATCAAAACCCAGCAGAAAATCTGGGTGTGATCATGGAGCACCAAGGTGGAGGATCAACTTTCCTTCTTCTGAGTGTTCAATCCACTAGATGGAAAAAGTGTTTCATAAAGTCAAATTCCCTATTCCATGGCCCATGTCTTAATCAGCATCCATTCTCTGAAGCCTTTTGACCAACAATACTATAGGACATGTTGTACAAGCACCTTGTGGACATATTATCTCTTCTTGAGGCTTGCCTTGCACTGGCTGAGTGAGACTGAGGCAGGAGAAGCTGGTTTGAGAACAGTAGTGAAACATGTTTGCATATTACATATGACTGCATGCATGCAAATTTCCTTCCTGGCTTTCTCCTCATAGTAGGCCAGCACTTGTCCCATAGAGGAACTACACAGTTTGGGAAAGGCTAACAAGAGCAATGGCAGTAAGTTCCCAGCCATTACCACAGTTCAGTGGGACATTTCTGACCATCTTATATCATAGAAGTATCTGTTTGTGTATCCCTCTGCAAATCTTCCCAGTTTTGATTGTGATTTAGTGGGGGAAGGTTAAATGATAATTCAGATTGCTCCTGTGGAATTTCATCTCTTAGACAACACTGCCTAATAAGGGCTTTGCCCTACTCAGTTCCAGTGGTATGGATCTGTAATAAGCCATAAATATGCTGTGGCTTGTCTACTACAGTGGTCCTTGAAAGACTGTGGGTGAGCACATGAAAATCCAATTGTTTCTTTCTCCCTCTGTAATATGGGTGGTATTTTGTCAAATGGTTAGCATGAACTAAGCATTAGATAATAAATGCATTGCAGTTGAAAAATGGTTTTTAGAAAAGGTCTCCTAATGTAATTATGTGCTACAACTGAATTAGTAGCTTTCTTTGGTGTTTTGAGAGCATTTTCAGTCAAGCACAATGACATCATCTGTTAAGCAGCAGAGGTTTGAGACTTCCACTTTCAGGAAACAAGAGCTGAAGCTTCAAGCACGTGATTTTTCTGCAGAGGCCAGTGGAAAGTTTCTAGTAAGATCAGTATAAAGTTGTAATAACTATTTCAAAGCAAATGTGGTAGAGTCATCTTCATTAAGGAGAAACAGTCAGCTGTATGATGCAGACTGAATTTTGGCTGAATATTTTGACTTCCCAACATTGTAAACCCATGCATTCTCATATATGTTAAATCAGATTTGTCCATCCCCTGTAAGTCTCACGTGAGTTTATTCAAGGCTTGTCCCTCAACTCCAGCCATCTCAAGTATTTGTCACTAGAGTAAATCTTGTAGCATGCCCATACAAGCACAGAGTTCCCCCCAGTGTACTCAGTACTTCAGGAGTATTATGATGTTGGCTGCCCCAAAAGACAAATTTAGTGACTTGCTAGCCACTACCACAGTAATTGTAGAGGGCAGTTGTGTTCAAAATGTGCTAGACGTTTGTCTTTCCACACTGTGCCTAGAACAGACAGGTGATGTTTTTGCAGCACATTGCCAGTAAATGAGTCATTGCCCTCCCCAGCCCCTAGATGTAGTGTGGATATCTGCTAAAGACAGTCCCACAGTAGGAACAGTCTTCCTGGGTCTACCCTGGACCGAGAGGTTTCTTATTAATGTAATTAACTACTTAGTGAGTCACTACAAAGATGTATATTACAGGGAAATTAATGACATGTTCATCTGTTCAAAGAAGACTGGCCCTTGTGACTGATCTTTTGTTATTGTCTCTGGTCATGACTTAGGAGAAGCTTCCTGAGTAGGCTTTGAGGTTCAAGAAGTGGTAGAGAGAGTAAAATTTCCTCCATATAAATGGTACTATTGCAAGTTCTGGTGAGAAATTATCTTGAAGTGATATGAATTTGTTAGGGAAGAAAGGTCAGGATGCTGTGGTATGAAAGGATAGATCGGTACTCTTCACATTTTAGAGTAATTTGCAAGCTCCTTGAATCACCTAAGATGTATGTGGTCAGGAAAAAGTCAGGTTAGGTTCAGTGTCCTTGACTCATAATCCAGCAGTGGCCCTTAATGGAGGCATGCGAAAGGATGCAGCCACTGGGCAAGCATGTAATGTTTCTTCAGTGTAATGTCCTGTTCTTCAGTAGCTTGCAACCCAGACTTTCTCATCTGCTGTTGGGACCTTGTTTATTAATAGCATTTGGTAAGATTTTTATGTTCAATTAGTTCTTTTAAGTCTTTCTCAAACTCACAATACTTTCAGCATTGTGTAGAGTCTACTGGGGTTTTTTTCTGTTTTAACTAAGCTGCATATGCAGAAGCTACTTTTGTTTTGTTTTAAACTGATCATTTCACTGGAAGTTTTCTAGCTCTGTATGATGAGGCACAGAGGGCAATCATCCCACTTCCATTCCCCATCCCACTTGTAAGTCTACAGACCTTTGTCGTAACCTCTGTTTGTCCTTACACATCCCATTGAAAGAACTGGGGTCTATTGTTCTTCCTTCAAAAACCATTCTTACCTTGAATCATGGCCTTTGTCTGTATCTGAGCTCAGAGATGGAGAACCCAAAATTGCACATAGTGCTTGAGAACCAGGATTGCATTGTGGATTTGTGTCGATGTTGGTCTGTTTTATCACTGCATTTCTAAGATCTGTCTTTTTGAGTGGCATTAGTTAATTCAGGGCCAGACAAAGGGTGTCTTAAGGTAGAACTGTTTTTTCCCTATGTACTTTACTTTGCAATGCTGAATTTTGTCTGGCACTTTGTAACAGTGTGTCAGTAGGAGGATGTTCACTAATCCTTTGCAATTGGATTTTGACTTTTCACTGTTCTGAACCAATTAGTATCTTCAGAAAACTTTTCCTCATCCACCCTATCCCTGAATCACCTCTGAATGCAGTGAACACCAATCTATGTGGAGATTGATGAAGTATATGGAGCTGAACAAACACATCTCTTGTTGTGCATGCACCTGGAACTTTCTACCTCCTCTTACTGTTAAAGTTGTAGAGGTAGAGCAGATGAGTAGCTTTGATATTTGCTGGCTAAATTTCTTTAAATATGTCTTGAAGGTCTACACCTTCAAGATATATTTGGGATATTTAATCGCTTTTCTCCTAGATTATATGTTTTTATTTATCCAAACCTTAAGGACTGCATTTAGTAGAGATCCATAGAGGTTAGAGAATCCTCCTTGAATTTGGAAGTGGTTTTGGAGCAAAAACTAACTGTGCATTCAGAAAATCAGTTTTAAACATCCCAGCAGATTAGCAGAACAGTGCCATTTACAATAGCTGGCACTGACCAGGTCTTACCCATCTCCAGCAGATCAAGCAGAACAAGTGAAAACCTCCAGGCTTTGTTTCCAGAAATTACCCCGGGAAAAATGTGAAAAGGAAGAGATTCAGCTCAAAAGATATATGCTAAAATCAAGGGCCTTGGCTGTTCATCTGTGTGTTGCAGTGCTATAACTTTAGTATGCTTTTAAATGCTGCAACGAGGTACTAATATGAAATCTTAGGAGTTTGCTTTAATTTTCATTCCCTTGAAACAAGGATTGTGCCCAAATGTTTTCCATGCAAGATAATCCAGATATGTGAATGAAAGGGGAAAAAAGCCCCACAAACTGAACTCCAGGCCACCAGTTACATGTAGAGCAATTGGAAAAAAGGAGTTGTCTTCAATGTGACTTCCTGCTAGAGCAAATAGTTTCCTGAAAGCTATGCCTTCCCCTTCTGGAAGCCTATCAGTCTTGCTCTTTGGTGACAGTGCATGCCAGCTATTTCCTGGAAGCTGTTTGTTTTAAAATACACCCTTGGTTTGGATAAAAAAATATCAAGGTCTGATGGGAGGACTTTAGTGATAATGTGCACTGCAGTAGGGAGTCCTTTGTATCTGAGTATCTTGTATCTGTGTAGTCTCGCTGAAAACCTGTACCCACCAAATTATCCTTTTCTCGCCGTACTGACTTTGCATCCCCTTGTTAGCACTGGCTTGCGGGATTTCATGTGCTCTCATGTAGACTGTGCTTGTTTTGTGACCTGGAATGCAAGTCATCCTTTACATTTTAAGTGTATGTGCATGCATTTAACATTTTGTTGGTATGGTTCTGATTATGTGTACTTAACCTGTGAGAAGAGAAAGGGGTGATCCTATCACATTGCAGGGTGCAGAAGCCCATGGTATTTTAAGTTCAACATTACACAGAAAGCCAGCTCCATCTTCCCCACCAATGTAAACAGTCCTCACTGCTCTATTCAAGAGTGTTTACAAGAGTTTAATTTCTTCATTTGTGCTTTGCAGTAACTTCTGGTTTCCTTTTCTCTCTTCCTGCAGAGACAACTTTCTTTCAATTCCTCCTTATGGGATCTGTCAGAAACGGTGGAAACTTTGAGAGAGAGCGTTGGGAAGCTTGTTAAAGAGGTAAGAAAAGCCTTTGTGTCAGGAGTACGCATCACTGTGGTTGCTATCTTAGCCTGTGATCGAGTACAAGAAGCAATTTATAGTCAAATCTCTGGCTTGTTTTGAAACTTTTCCTCATCCTACAGTTGTTTTCCCTGCGTGCAGGCAGCATGCACTTTGCAGCCTCTTGGCACTTCAAGTTACAAATACCATAACAGGGATTAGGACATTTTCTGTAGTGTTTTATCTTCTCAGCAGTGGCACAACGGTTGGGCTTGCAGTACATCTGCTGCCAGGTAGTGCCTTGCAAACTACATATTGAGGCTTTCCTTTCTACTTTTTCTCATCCAGTTGCCAGCCCATATCAGGGTTTTTAATTGGTTGTATCTACTGGGTTTTATGTGCAGTGAGGGTATGGCATGTGGAAAAGGTGCTGTGGCTGTTATAATTTAAATTAGTAGCAGTAGGCTACTCTTTCTCTATCTTGCTTTTTGGGCCAGAAATTGTTTTCCAGTCTTGTGGGGCGCTCAGCACAATGACATCACAATGCTAAAAAAAAAGTGAGTTGCACAGTCAAGTTGACATTCTAGAGACTGCAAGTATTTGGTTTTGCAGGTGAAATTATGGATTAAGAAAAAAAGCCCTGCATACCTAAGTTAGAATCAGAAGTCCAAATCTGGGGGGGTAGGGGGTGGGTGTTGAGCCAGAAACTTATCCTAGATTTTTTGTCTGGCTCTGACTTTGAAGTGCTGCTATTAGTCAAAAACATTCTCTCCCTGGAGCAGAAATCACAACCATCTAAACTAAGTGCCGCCGCCTCCTCCTCCCTTTGCTAGTCTTCCGTCTTTGCATCAGAGCGAGAGGCTCTGCGCTGTGAACAGCAGTAACCTCTGGGAGCATGCACAAGAGTGGGTCACTCCAGGTTAGCGTGCGCCTCACTCCCACAGAGGGGCAGCTGCCGGGAGCCTGAGCTGTGCCAGCCAACAATTCCTGGCACGCACCCCTGCCCGAGTCCTACAACCTGCTGCGCAGTTCCCTTCACATTGAAATTAAGACGATTCTAGGATCAGCTTCAGTTAGGACCATGGAAGAGATTTTGCTGCTAGCAGGGAGCCTGCCCTTCAGAGTTTGACTACAGCTGTTTCCTGTTACGTCATTTAAGCTTGGCTTTTCTTCTTGTCTGGGATAAAAATAATTGAAACCACGTGATACTGAGTTTGCTGATGTGGCCGAAAACGTCCCAGGGTAACGTGCCTTTTGCTTGGCAGCTGTTTTGGGCACGACTACCTTTTATTCTGTCCTGCTGTGCAAACAAAGGCAGCATTTTGCTCTGTGTGCAGCATGAGCTGCTCCAGATGGCTTGACCGAAAGTTACTTCTTATTGTCTGTCAGGCAGCTTTCTGTGTGAAAAGGAGGGACTTGCTCCCTTGTTTCAAAGGGCAGCAGCTTGAGGGGGTGGAGGGAGCTATTGTTTGTGCCATGTCTAGAAGCCTTTCTAGCAGGGAATTTTAATTAGAAAATGGTCTGAACAAAATATTTGTCTTGGAGTATGGGAATTGATTGGATCTGTGTCCTTGGACTCTTTAAATCAACTTCTAGGAGGGCAGATTAAACACCAAGAGCAAGGGCAACTATTTAGATACACTTAGGGGGCCAGGCCTGATGTCTGTAAGAAGAAATAGCTAGTAACCCTTCACATTTGACATATTTGCTTCCAGAAGTGTAAAAAGATCAGCTCTGCATGTAAATTGTGAAGATGCTGGTGTCAAAGTTGAAACAAAGTTCCTTGCTCAAGCTGTTTCAAAATAATTTGTAGAAATGTGTTTTCAAATGCATTCCTTCTTTAAAATGGTTAGTACTTCACATGTTCATGGGGATTATCTGCACTTCCTATTTAAGTACCTTTACTTATAATATTAGGGAGTTTATGGTACTTTAGCTGCTGAAACAGCTCCCTTTTTGCTGAGCAAAGATGAGCTCTTTTAGCTAAGATACCAAAAACTCCCTTAGGCATCCCTTTGAATTGGACACTCAAATTGTCACACCTGAAATGCAGCCTTGGCCTTTTGGGTGAGGAATCATCAAATCCAAACATCTCGATGAACGTATGTAACAAACAAAACCGGTGACAGTTTTCATTCATGTTCCATGATGCTGGTGTCCTGTAGGTCACTGTGAACCTGGAGCCAGGTTGAGAGGTGCCAGGCTGCAGGCAAAGGCACCAGTGAGTAGTGAGGAAATAAAAGTACACTCGAATCACTCAATCTGGACATTTGTACTCAGACTTTTGCTGTTCTCACAGCTGTCTTGCATTATATCAGTGTGTCATGTGCTCTTAGGCATCTGAAAATAAAGGCTCCTTGTGTAGGTGACACGTAGTAGCTGTTGTTTAGCATCAAGAATTTTTCTCCAGATGTTGGCACATCTAAAACATGCACAGATGTGTCATATAAAGGGTCAGATTTACCTCCCACTGTAAGACCAAAGAGTCTTGAGTGTGCTTTCCTTGGGTGAACTTGGGTTGGTTGTTCCAGCACACTGCTGCTTTCAGCATTGTTGCTGGCTGGCTTTACCAGCTGTCTTAGACTTGGATTATCTGCATTTATTTAAACAAAGGTGATAGACCAATGCACTGTGAGCAAAAGTGGCAGATGGTCTTTGACTCTGTTATTGTCTCTGAAAATAGGGCAGTTGGAGCACAGCATTTGAAGTTGTTTCTGAAATGCAGTTGGTGAGCAGTTACAAATAGGTGTCTCAGCAACTCTGCTCACCTTGTTAAGTGCACATGCCTGTTCTGGACAGCCCAGTAAGAACAACCAAGTCAATGTCACCTGATATTTCAGTGGGAGTCAAGAAATCAGATAAAATTCTAGGAAACACTTAAAAAGGGATAGAGAACCAGCTGTAGCATTTTACCATGATACTATACAAAAGCATTTGATAAGGAACACAGATCTAGGGTCTTGTTCTCTGAAAAGGGATAGCATAACTGGAATAAAGTTCAGAGAAGGCCAGTTAGGACATTGAGAAATATAATGGCTTTCACGAAAGGAACAAGGGAATAGGCTGAGACTGTTCAGCTTGCAAAGGAGATGAGTGGGATATGACAAAGACCTATAGAGTTGAGTGGCACATGAAGAAGAGATAGAGATTGAATGCTCACTGTCTCCTGCAGTAAAAACAAAAAACAAAACCACATGACACCAAATGGAGCTAACCACAGCCAGCTAAGGAGAGAGAAGAGGTTCTTTCCTGTTATATTGGATGTTAAGTACTTGTGGATGTTCTAAATCCTATGAGTTTACTATGGAAGAAAGTAATTGAGGGTTAGGAAATAGAGGTTCCCTGAGCTGCAAATAAATGGAAGCTGGAAGGTTACTTAGAGGAATGTCCTAGATTCTTGCTTTTGTCTTATTTCTTCTTAGCATCCACTTATTGTCACCATTTGATATTCTGACATCTCAAGATAGGGGGTCTGAAAGTAACACTCCAATGTAGCATGAAACCAGTGCTCATGCAGGTGGGTTATTTTTTCCTGTTGTGGTGAGCTTGGCCATACCTGAGTATGGCAGCATTAATGCAGTGAGTATCTCAGGTTGAGGGCATGGTGCTTTTGTTCATGACACATTGCAGGCATGTTGTCTGGCTTATGCCACTCAAATGAGTCTTGAGGTACTAATTGTTCTGGCTGGTTGAATGTTGTCACCTCAGGCCTGGTGTCAGGTCAGCTGGCCAGCAGAAGGCTCCTGCAGTGACTGGCTGTGTGCAAAGCTTATGCTGTAATTCAGGCTCCTGGCTGCAACAGGCCTTGTTTTCAAGGATATTCTGGGAATGCTGTTGACAATGGCGCAAGGAGTTTCTGGGACAGGAATAAATGATGACAATCTGGAAGGTCAAACTGGTTGCCTGGTGTAAATCAGTGGAGGTTGGGTGGAATTGTGCCAGGTGACACTGCTGTGGCCTGTGGCTCATCCAGTTTGTGACCCACGAGCTGCAGTCATTTGGTGTTGTTCCTTTAACTCCTATTCTGACTCAATATACCCCACCCCACCCGTCCTTGTGAGGGTATTCCTTTGGAATGTAAGCCATTGTGGAACCAGGAGGACAAGCAGCTTCCATGTTAGAGGGCAGGGAGGCCAGGAACACCCACAGCACTGGAGCAGAAAACTCAGTAGTGAAGAACTTGGCAAGGATATATTCCAAGTACTTGCTCTGAAGAGACTTCCATTGTGGTGGTGGGGAATTGTTTTCCCTGGTTCTTCCCTTTGATATTGTGTTCAAGGGGAGTCTCATCTGTTGAAAAATCTGTTCTGTGGTTTGAAGAGAGAACTTCTCCTTTTACTGATCCTGTTTGATAGTCGCTTCCATTCTTTTCTCTGCCCTTCCCCTCCAGCTGCTGAGCATGAAGAGCTGGAGTGACATGAGGCAAGAAGTGATGTTCCTGACCAATGTGAATGCCTCAAACTCCTCTACGCAGATCTACCAGGCTGTGTCACGCATCGTGTGTGGCCATCCTGAAGGTGGAGGGCTCAAAATTAAATCCCTCAACTGGTATGAGGATAACAATTACAAAGCACTGTTTGGAGGCAACAGCACTGAAGATGATGTGATTAACTTCTATGATAACTCCACAAGTAAGTGTAACAATGGCATGGTCTGAGGTCCCATCTACTTCACGATTGTCATTGCTAGTGTTTTCTAAACTTCCACAGATGAAAGTAGGTGGTCCTCATACTCACTACTGTTTCAGAAAGGCGAACACATATTGTCCTGCATATGCCCTTAAGGCCAGTAAGTTATCAACTTTCAGAGTCCCCCAAGGACCTGCTACCTACCTACTGGGTAAAGTACACAGAAAGATGTGCAGTGGACATGCTTTAGTGGGAGAGGGAGCACAGTCACATGCAGCCTCTGAAATCTGACCTTTTCCAGACAAATTTTGTTTGTGCCATGCACTGGGGTTGTGGAAGTGTTACACAGCTAGTACTGTGGCTCTTAGTGTTGGAGGCTACCTGGTTGCTTCTTTTTCACTGGGCAGACTGTGCAGACTTGGGCTAAAAGGAGCTTTTTTTGGAGCTTTGCAGTAAAGGAGGGGGTTTGTGTCTGAAAAATGCTTTGCTTTCAGCTTTGATTGTTCTTGAAGCTCTGAACCTTCTGCAGTTGTCATTGTGCTGTTCAGCCACTCACCTTTGTGCTCTTCTTCAGCGCCCTACTGCAATGAACTAATGAAGAACCTGGAATCCAGCCCGCTTTCCAGGATTATCTGGAGGGCTTTAAAACCCTTGCTGATTGGGAAGATCTTGTACACTCCAGATACGCCAGCTATAAGGAAGGTCATGTCTGAGGTAACTCTAGCCCTGTCCTCTGATAGTGTAGCATTAGCTATGTCCTCTGTCTGTGCAGCTGATCCTCTCTAGTTAAATTGGACCCAAACAGAAGCCTAGAAAGGATTGCCTGCAAAAGCACAGCCTTCCTTATCTTTCACCCCCCCTGCACTTACTGTTGAAGGCTCAGTACACCCTCTTAGCTTATGATGGTCTCTGCCAGCTTTTGGAAATAACCTTCCTCTCGTCTTTGTGACAGGTGAACAGGACATTCCAGGAGCTGGGTGTGTTTCGTGACCTCGGGGGAATGTGGGAGGAGATAAGCCCAAAGATTTGGACATTTATGGAAAGTAGTCAGGAAATGGATCTCATTCGGGTCAGTATACTGTCCTTGACAGAACCACTGCTGTTGTTTTTTGCAATAAGTGATGAAATATTTGTTTTAAATGGGGCTTCAGTGCTGAATTGGGCAGATAAATATTATGGATGAGACACCTTGAAAGACATCTTGATTGTACTGATCTTGCATTATGCTTGGCATTCCTTTCTTCGCATAACAGTCTCCTGCAAACAGGAGCAGTGCACATTTAACACCCGATTCTAATCTGCCTCTGCTGGAAAATGTGCTGTTTTGTCTGCAGTGTTCCTCTAATGTGTTATGAGCATGTCACCATGGTTCCTCGGGTGCAGCTCTGAGGGGTGGATCTTTGCAACCTGTTCTGATGCCTTTGGAAGTACAGTGATGTAAACCTAACATCAAGAAACAGAGGGACCACTGTAGAGTAGTTTTTCCAGCTGTCTCTGCAACACAGTTGGTTGGGTATCACAGTGCACCATCTTGTGTACAGAGACCTCCCCAGGTCATATAAACCTTGAAATTCATTCTGTTTTTACCCCAGTTTAATGCTCTGCTGAATAATCCTGTGACTTGGCCTGTTGTACTTCTCCATTAACATGACATACTAGAGCACCAAAGACAGTTGAACAGATCATTACAAAGCTCAGGTGAAAGTTGAGGTCCAAAACATTGATTTGCAGTGATGTCCTCTGAAAAGTGAATGTTGCTCTTACTTTTTTTTTTTTTTAATTTTGCTGAGCCCTTAGCTTCTATGGTTTTATATTTTATGTTGCTTATTAACACTGTTGCCTCTGGTAGCTAACCATTGATCTTCCCAGCAATCTGGTCTTTTCTGTACCAGTGCAGTAACAGTGGTCTCTTCGTTGTCACCTGTTGACATTCGCACAAGCAGGAGTACCTCATTGTCAGTGCCTTGGCAGCTCCCAGGGATCATCCCCTTCAGTTCCTGTGTTTCTGGGTTGACTGGCCATCACCTTTCAACTTTCTGGGTTGTACAATCTGTTTGGCATATTTCTTCCTGCTGAGAGAGAAGAAATGCTTTACTTGCCTATCCCTGTCACTTCTAGCTTGATGCTAGTGTGCCTGTGAACTTCAGGAAGGGCAACATGTGCCCCTATGGTTAAGGAACTTTAATGCTGGACTTAAACAAGATGAGGCTGAGCCGTTTCCCTGCACGCATGGTAGCAGAAGTTACCCATGGAGACCAAATGAGAAGAGAGCACAGCACATCCGATTCCTATGTGCTTAGATTTCCTTTTTGCATGTTTTCCTTTTGTAGCTTCGATTGTTCTGTTTTTCCAGTTTGCAAAGTTGTTTTTGTAACTGTGTGACCCACTACTTTCTAGTTTGCTGGTAACAGCAGAATATGGGGAAGCTCTTTACCTCTCTTTCATTTTTGTTGTGGCAAAAAATCTACTTCCTGTTCTTAATCATAAGGATTTTTGCCATTTTCTCTCTTGTGCAGGTTTTTCTTTTTATCTCCCTGACTTCAGTTCAACTATGTAATTTACAATTGCTGTTCCCTTCCTGCCTGGCCTTAAATTGTCTGCCCAGTGGACTGGTTTCTGCTTCAGTGCATTTAGCTAGGCATAGTGCATACAGTAGCCTGTCCTCAGAAAGCTAGCAGTTAAACCAGGTGAAGAAAGCATTGTCCCAGACAGGAGGACAAAGGCAGGACATCATGGCTGTACAGGGCTGCTTCAGCCAGTCCTGGTGGCACAAATGCAAAATACAAAAATCACCTGGCCTCTGGCGCTGGTGCTCTGGTGCTCTTCTGCTCAGCACAGTTACTGTTGAGCCTTCAGGCATGCCTCAATCGCTCTCCATCCCAGACAGAAGGTAATTTTTTCTGGGAGAAGTGAGCAAAGCTAGGCACCAAGTATTGGGCAAATGCGTTTCTGCTGAGCTAGCATCTTCCTCTTCCCTGGTTTGCCTGTGTGGGATGCAGAGCCGTACATGGCTCTCTGCTGCCCTCTCCTTGGGAGAGGGGTTGGCAGGACACGGAGGCAGGCAGCCAGCCTGCAAAGCACACCAATGTGGTGTAGCTGTACTGAGGGAGGAACATTCCTCTCAAAGGGAAGGTGAGAGGAAGAATGCCACTGTTCTGATCCTCTCAGTATGACAGAGGGCCTCTACCTGCACCTTCTTAACAGCTGTTTTCCTTGTAGTGCTGGTCTTTTCTATGAGAGAGGAATCTAACATTACTTCTCACAACTATTTCTTTGAAAACAAAACACCTGCAGACATTGCTGAAAGGCAAAGCCCTCTGGGACCTGCACTTGCCAGCTTCCAACTGGACAGTGGAGGATGTTGCCCGTTTCCTGTCAAACAGTCCAGAGGAATTTGAGACAGAAAATGGTTCTGTGTACACCTGGATGGACGCCTTCAATGAGACAGACCGGGCTATGCAGACCATCTCCCGCTTCATGGAGGTGAGATCCTGTTATTGTGGGCAAGGCGCCGGGTGAGGGCAGCAGCTTGATCTCCACTCATGCGGTTGGGTATTCTGAAAAGGGAAGATAGATATTCCTCCATCCATTTTCTGAATACAACCAGGATGTAGGAATCTAACTGTAGGCCTTGTTTTTGAAGTTTTTGCTTTCATCACTGTGTGTGGTTTGCTGCCATTCTGTTACTCACTGAAAGCTGCTGCTGTCTCCAGCAGTGTAGCAGCTCATACTTCAGTCTGGGGTTTAGCTGGGGGCTTTGGTACAGCTAGCAGCTGCTTTAAACAGAGGGAACAAAATTAGTTCTACTTCTTGCCTCATCAGCTTGGGAGATGAGTGCAAACAGAAACAGGCCATGACCTGTTAAGGGCCTGATCCAACCTTCAGGTCTCTCCACTGATGTTTAGAGGCTTTGAATCAGACTTGATTTATTGGTAACAGATGAAATAAGACTATCTATGAAAGTTGATACTTGGATGAGATTCTGTAGGTAATACTGCAGTGCTAGCTAACCTTCTATGCAGAAAATGCCTTTGCTGGGGTATTTCTCAGTGATATATGTTTGACTGGTAGGTGACTGTCAAGCAGGAAGCAATGACAACTCTTGCAACTTGCTGGGCTACAACAAATTGCAAAATAGTCTGATGCTGTTGTCTCTTTCTTGGGCGTGACATTGCCATTGGAGTGTTCTTTCCCTCCACCCCACAACTAAACAAAGTACATTATAATTTGGCAGTGAATCCCATAAGTGCTTCCAATTCTGTCCCTGTCTAGTGTGTCAACCTGGACAAACTGGAGCCTGTGCCCACAGAAGTCCGGCTCATTAACAAGTCCTTGGAACTTCTGGATGAAAGGAGGTTCTGGGCTGGCATAGTCTTCACTGAAATAGCTCCTGACAGCACAGACCTTCCCCAACATGTGAAATACAAGATACGCATGGACATTGATAATGTGGAAAGAACCAACAAGATCAAGGATGGGTAAGCCCTGACATCCTGCCTTATGATCAATTTCTTACAAAGGATGGGGTGAGGAGGATTTCTAATGGAAAGGTCTTGTTCCCTTGGTGCAGGTACTGGGATCCTGGTCCCCGTGCTGACCCCTTTGAGGACATGCGCTATGTGTGGGGAGGCTTTGTCTACCTGCAGGACGTGGTAGAACAGGCCATCATCAGGGTTCAGACAGGCACGGAGAAGAAGACAGGAGTTTATGTGCAGCAGATGCCCTACCCATGTTACGTGGATGACATGTATGTATGCAGGCTGCTTCAGAAGCTCCTGGGAGGATGACCTTGGGAGGCATGGGCTTTTGTCACTCCTCAGGCATGGTTTTTGTCCCTATTGTCAGTGAGCAGGCGATCTCCATAGTGTTCCTAATCCCTAGAATTAGGGCACCCACGTGGAGGATTTAGAATATGTAATGACTTGCAGAGTCCTGCCCAGGAGAGTACTGGAGTTGAACATACACAGTACCTTCCTGAGGTGTGACCATATCCCCACATCTGATACAAGTGAAAATAGCACTGGGGAAAAAAGCAGACGGGTAGGCACAGGAGAGGGGAAAGAGGGCAGTTGAGAGCAGTTCCCAGGCAAGGCAACTCTTTGCCACTCCCACTGAGTGACAGTTGCAGGTCCAGCTCCCACTCCAGCAATATGCTCTAAAGCCATCCACCTCACTTCATGGTGAGACAAGGATCCTGTGTCAGGCTTTGCACATCAGCTGCTTTGTGCAGTGAAGCCTTAGCTGTCACCATGCTCTGATAGCCCTTGAAGTGGTATCTGAAGTTGCAGTAATGTTTCTCACTCAGTTCTCCTGGCCCCTTTCTTTCATTTTCACAGATTTCTGCGTGTCATGAGCCGCTCCATGCCTCTCTTCATGACACTAGCTTGGATCTACTCAGTGGCTGTGATAATTAAGGGTATTGTGTATGAGAAGGAAGCCCGGCTGAAAGAAACAATGAGGATTATGGGACTTGACAACGGCATCCTTTGGTTAAGCTGGTTCATTAGCAGCCTTGTCCCTCTCCTGATGAGTGCAGGACTGCTGGTACTGATCCTGAAGGTGAGTAGCCTGGTTTGGCCTGTGGCAGCAGACTCTAGAGCCTTTAGAGCCTGCTAAACAGTGGTCTGCACTGACACACTGGGGAGGAGTTTGTGGGTGTGTGTTGACCAGCCACTTTTTTGGAAGAGAATTTTGGAGCAGCAGGACTGTGTGGCTGAAAACAGCAGGAGGGAGTGTTGTAGATTCAGTTCTGCTGAAAACTGCCTCTGGTACTGCCTCACTTCTGGGAAGGCTGTTGTGCAAATTGCAGGAAACCCTGCCTCCCCTGAGAGCTCTGCAGAGCTGCCTATAACAGAGGTACCTTGGAGAGCCCTTTCAAAACCTCATGCACTTATTGTTCTCCTGCCAGATGGGGAATCTGCTGCCTTACAGCGATCCTAGTGTGGTGTTCATTTTCCTCTCAATCTTCGGCGTTGTGACCATCCTCCAGTGCTTCCTCATCAGTACTGTGTTCTCCAGGGCCAACCTGGCAGCTGCCTGTGGGGGCATTGTCTACTTCACACTGTACCTGCCTTATGTGCTGTGTGTTGCCTGGCAGGACCACATCAGCTTCTCACTCAAGATTTTTGCGGTGAGTTTTGATGAAACTTTTCTGGGCACCAGGTTGCCGCCAGTGTGGCACTCGTGAGCTGAACACTTTTACAAGGGGAGAAGTGGCAATGGGAGCTTAATTTTCAGTGTGAAAGTCTTCAGGGTTGGGCTTGATAAAGAGGTTTACTGAGCCTGGCAGAAGCTGCTGGGAGAGTTTTGTTGGCTTTGGTAGTAGAAGTAATGCAGCTTGACTAAGCTGCCTTGATCTCTGTATGCTGTCACACTGTACAACCACACATGCTGGAGGAACCACCTGCCTTTTCTCTGCACAGCACTTCTTACCTGTCTGAAGAGGGCAACTGTTAGCAACCTGTTGCCTTGCAGGAAAATCCAAAGAGTAAGGGAAAGAAAACAATGCTGGCTGGAGGTCCAGTAGAGATTTCAGGCCTCTTGGAACCTAGACCAAATATGCCACTCTGTATCTGCAAATACAGTGACGGTTTGTGGAACTTGGACTTGTCATATGGACAATGTCCCTTATTCTCGTGCTACAACTGAGATGACTAGTTGGAGAGTAGATGTAAAAAAACTCAGTGCATGTTCATGCCTCCCATTTTCAGAGCCTGCTGTCTCCAGTAGCCTTCGGTTTTGGTTGTGAGTACTTTGCACTGTTTGAGGAGCAGGGAGTTGGTGTTCAGTGGGACAACTTCTTTGAGAGCCCATTGGAAGAAGATGGCTTTAGCATCACCACATCAGCTGTCATGATGCTGTTTGATACCTTCCTCTATGGAATCATGACCTGGTACATTGAATCTGTCTTCCCAGGTGAGGTCTACTTCTGAGAGATAATCATGTCTTAAGGCTTTTAAATAAACCCTTTCACCCTTTTCACTTGCTAAGGTGCAAATTTGGCCCATTTTTAAGCAGAGCTAAAGGTCATGGAGCAAAACCAGCATCAGAGCAAGGTTGTTGCTTGCTGCTAGCAGTGAGTGTTGCCCAGCACAGAAGCATGACCCCATTGTGGCCATGGCTGATCTAGCCTCAGAAGCTTTGCTGTACTTCTCTTTTTCCCTCCTCTAAAGTTCACAGACTGTGCTGCAAGAGAGGAGTTGCATATCAGTACCACCTGTGCTACTAAGTACCTTTCAGCATAGGGTTTTTAACCCTGAAGTGAAGTTAGATGTCTCTTACCCAGAGTCTGTCAGTGTCTTCATATAGAAAGATTTCACCTTAGTGCCTCATCTGGAGGCTTACTGTGGGTGGAGTACTTCCCTTCTTGTCCTGAAAGCTAATAAAAGAAAAGGGACAGATACACTCAGGCTCATGTAATGCTTTTGTTTCCAGGCCAGTATGGGATTCCCAGACCCTGGTACTTTCCTTTCACAAAGTCATATTGGTTTGGGGAGGAACCACAGGACAGGCAGCACCCCCATCCTGACCAGAAAGGGTCTTCAGAAGGTAAGTGCTGGACACAGACTCTTTCTGAATTGTTAAGGTCTGCCTTTTTCTGAAATGAGAGTCCAAGGACAGCAGAAGCAGTACTGGCATGGGTAGGTGAAATTGGTCACCCTTTTGTTATCACACATTGGGTATGCTGATCAGGTGGGTGCATGCAGATAAACCCAAGGTACTTTGCACACCTGAGTGCAGATGGGTATTCAGGCTCATGGAGTTGAGAAGGCCTTGTTTTTTTGCTGACCCTGATAAAACTGGAGATCTCTAGACTCCTAAATTAGCCCAGGAGAGAGACAATAGCTGAATGACAACTTCTGTGGATGATTCCTATCTCTGAGGAAGAAAGTAGTCAGTTCTTCATATAGCTCATTCCTTCACAGGCTTGGGAGAATGTGATGTCTATTAAAACTCCCATGCAATTTTTGTTAAAACCTATCAGATCTTTCTATTTTGTTTTTCCTTCCAGTCTGCAAGGAAGAAGAGCCTGTGCATCTGAGTCTTGGTGTTTCCATCCAGAACCTGGTCAAGGTTTACCGTGATGGCAAGAAAGTTGCTGTGGATGGTCTCACACTTAACTTCTATGAAGGACAAATCACCTCCTTTCTGGGACATAATGGAGCAGGGAAAACCACTACCATGTAAGAACAAAATAATGATTATAGACAGTAGGGAAGTGACTGAATACTGCAACTCCTATCCATATAGTAAAGGTAGCCATAGAACTGCAGTGTGCAAGTGGTGCAGACCAGAATGCCTCTGCTGATTTAGTCTAGTTGTGGTCCTGCCTTATAGATACAGGGGACTGGAACCACAGGGGGTTCAGGTTGATGCTGGGTCAAATGAATCTGTAGGTGGCATTTTGTAGTAATGCCATTTGTGATTCTGACTTACCAGTGAAAGAAAGCAAGTTGGTACTGAAAGAACAAGAAGCTTTTAGAGGAAAAAATCTTCCCTTCATGCAGCCATGTGGGTGTTCTTTGATCACCACTGGAGCTGATTTGTGGTTTGGTTTATTTAAAATCCATTAATGAGATGTTTTTCAGAACACTTTCTTGGTATGGGATTCCCCAGGGTTTTCACCTACTCTTAATTCAGCCTTCTACTGTTTCCTAGTGGCAGAACCTGCTGATCTGTTCTGTTTCTCTTTCAGGTCCATTTTGACTGGCTTGTTCCCCCCAACTTCAGGAACAGCCTTCATCCTGGGCAAAGATATCCGCTCTGAGCTTAGCACTATCAGGCAGAACCTGGGTGTATGTCCACAACACAATGTGCTGTTTGACTTGTGAGTATCATGTGGGATATGTAGGACTGATGCTATCCAACAGGTGTTTCGGTTCTCTAGGAAACAGCAGTGTGCTTTTGGCTTTGACAGTTCTTTTTCTGTGTGTGCAGGGTGTGAGACAGTGGTGTGGTGTGGAATTGGTACAGGAACATTCTGTTTATTAGCACATTCCTAAGTGCCTGGGAATGACCAGCAAGAGCTTACACTTTCATCTTTTCATGTCTGTTAATAATGTACTCCACTCAGCTAGGCCAAGTGTTTCCCTGGTGCCTAGTGGTTTAGGTTGTTTGTGGCACTGTCAAGCATCCTTAAAAAAGGATTATTTACATGGGTGCTGAACAGAGCCACACCCTGAAGTCGGGCCCAAACTGAGTGCACCTACTCTGTAGCTCCTTCCTGAAACCTCAGCCTTAAGACATGTTTTTCTGAGGAAAATAAATGCCTGCAGTAATGCTAATAAAAGGGACAAATCCAATATGGTGCTTTCAACTCTACCCTGGGGCTACATTTGTTCCCTAGGCTGACTGTGGAGGAGCACATCTGGTTCTACGCTCGGCTCAAAGGGCTGCCGGAAAAGAAGGTGAAAGAGGAGATGGAGCAGATGGCAACAGATGTTGGTTTGCCTCACAAACTGAAAGCTAGGACAAGCAAGCTCTCTGGTAGGTTCAGATCTTTTACATTTCTCAGCCTCAGAACACTCCACAGACTTTTGCAGGGGCTGTGTTATGGAGCTTGATGGGATCCTGCAATTATATATAGACTACTATAAAATTAAGCATTTAAGGAAGTCAGTTATTTATTAAGTACCTAATCAGTGTATCTTAGTAAACATGACAATGTTGCACAATCTCAAACTATCTAATGGCCATAACAAGTCTCTCACTTTCTCTAAGTATTTTGTATTTTTTTCCATCATGACATAGTTCAGCTGCATTTGCTGTGTGTTGTTCAAAGCTTACTAATATATTTGGGGTTTATGCATTTAGGTGAGAGTGGCTTGGACCATAATCTATAAGTCTCTTGCTGGCATTCCTTATACTGACTTCTGCCCCTTCAGTTGTTGACCTGGAGTGCCCTGCTCCTTTGTTCAGTAGGGGCAGAATTCCTGTGTCAGTCTGTACCAGATACTAGAGGGACTGACATGCCTTTGTCTTACTCAAGTGTCAGTACAGACTGCACATTTGACTTTGGGGAGGGAGAGCAGATGACTGTGGTTGACTTTAGTATTGAGGAATGCAATTCCTTGTTTTTGCCTCTGGAACACTTCCATGGAAGGGGAGTCTCATGGGGACATATTTCTGCAGCTCAAGCTCTGGAGACCTGTGTTCCAGATCCCCAAATACGCTTAGACCTCCGAACTGGCGATTTGCTACCCCTGGTGCTGAGACAGTACAGTTCACTGTGAGCATGCAAGGTGTGGTTCCCTGCAGTAGGAGGAGAGTTAGACTCCACTGAGGAAAGACTATCCACATGAATTATCCATTGTCCAGAAAGTGGTGGGACCCTGAAGGCCTGAAACAGCAGCAGTACTCCTCAGTCTGCTTTCTTTCAGAGCTCATTATCCACCATGCTGCAAGTATTGCTGTTCAACTCATCTCTGCATCAGCCTGAACGTCTCCTTCTTGTGCCTGACAGGTGGCATGCAGAGGAAGCTCTCTGTTGCCTTAGCTTTTGTTGGTGGCTCCAAGGTTGTCATTCTGGATGAGCCTACAGCTGGGGTGGATCCCTATTCTCGCAGAGGAATATGGGAACTGCTTCTAAAGTATCGGCAAGGTATGCCATCTTTACTCTTAATAAATGTATTGTGAAAGGTAAAAGAAAATCAATCTGATTCTTGACTGTTCTCAAAATAGCAATGTGTCCTTGCAAATTTATTGTTGCCTGCACCAAGGAATGAACAAAGACCATGCACGATAAGGATGCTCAGATCTCTCACCTGTATATCTTTCTCCTCCTATTCATGTCAGAATTAATGAACAAAATTTTTTACTGGGTTATGACTGAGGGCAGGTAAAGTCAGAAAATCACCCTTGGTGTTCAGCAATATCCTGTTCTGCTCCATGCAACCAGCCTTGCAGACATGAAATTAAACCTGCTGTTGCTGAGCACAGCAAGAGCCAGCAGACAGTGAGGAGAATAATCCCATGACAGTACCTGTGAATCTTCTCCATATTCCTGGTCTTGTTCAAAGGAGCCAAAATTGTGGCATCAACCTCCCATCTAGCTTCTTAGCAAGATGCGGGTGATTGTGGCTCTGGTGCGGCAGCACAGGTTTTTTTTTGACTTAGCAGCTACGTCTTCCTTGCTCTCTTCCAGGTCGCACCATCATTCTCTCCACGCACCACATGGATGAGGCAGACATTCTGGGGGACCGGATTGCCATCATTTCTCATGGCAAGCTCTGCTGTGTTGGCTCTTCTCTCTTCCTGAAGAACCAGCTGGGAACAGGCTATTATTTGACCTTGGTCAAAAAGGATGTAGATTCCTCTCTGAGCTCCTGCCGAAACAGCAGCAGCACAGTTTCCTATCTGAAAAAGGTACAGCTGGCCTTTTCTGCTTATGTTTATTCTTTCTTCATGAAATCTTAGGCTTTTTGGAAGCAGCAGCTAAGATTTTCTATGGTAGAATGTCTCAAAAGAAAATCCCTTGTTCTCTGAAAGAAGTGTTACTTGTCTGGTGGGTACTGTGCCAAGACCATGTCTCGTTAAACTGTTGTGTGGGACATACATCCCCATTATAGTTTCTTTCAGTGCCAGTGGTCTCAAGTTGATCAGAGAAATACAAAATAAGTGAAGTATACTTTTGTAATGCTTACTTCTATACCCGTGATCTTACTTCTGTTTTAGCCCTTTGCAGTGCTATGTCTCCATCTGCAGCATCTGGTTGGACTTACTTAGTGTGTAGCATCTGGTGGGCCTCATTTTGAATAAACAGCAAAAAATAATGTTTGTCTTCTCTTTTGTCACCAGGATGACAGTGTCTCCCAGAGCAGCTCTGATGCTGGCCTTGGCAGTGACCATGAAAGTGACACCTTGACAATAGGTGAGGCTTGGAAAAAAATTTAAGGTTGAATCCCATTTGAAATTAGCTCTGTAGCTTGCCTTGGACAGGTGCCTTAACTTTGTTGCTCCAAGGTAGCTACACTCTTAGGAAAATTATTAAATTCACAGTGATGGTATTTTAAATATTAGCATGCATTCCTTGAGTGAGCCATTTTGAATTCAAGCTGCTCTGAAATATAATAAGCAAATATGTAGTTGTGTGGCCTGTTAGCAGTATATGATGTTGGTGAGCTGTACATAATGATTTATTTGCAGGTCTTCCAGTAGCATGTACAAGCTCTCCCAAGTTCTGCACATAAGTATAGCCAGGCTTTAGTCCAGGCTTTTATCCAGTCTTGTGTTAAATTAAAAAGAAATGACACTTCGTGGAAATAAGCAGAGATGTCCTGTTTGTCCTCTTTTTCTTCTGGCAGGATTTTTAAGACTGAGCTCTTTTTTCCATATAATGAGTGGTAACCAGAACAGAACTATCTTTTACATTTGTTTTTTCTAGATGTGTCTGCAATTTCAAATCTCATTACAAAACATGTTCCTGAGGCAAGACTGGTGGAGGACATAGGTCATGAATTAACCTATGTCTTGCCATACAAAGCTGCTAAAGAGGGAGCTTTTGTGGAGCTGTTCCATGAAATTGATGACCGTCTTTCTGATCTTGGCATTTCCAGCTATGGCATCTCGGAAACTACTCTGGAGGAGGTTAGTGAGCTGCTGACTCCTGTTTCTCTTAAACTAGGCAGAAGGAATCATGGCAGAATTAGGAATGAGATGAAACCTTATTGCTTACTGTAGAAATTGACAGAACAGGCAGCTTCGTGTTCCTCTCCAAAAGGGATTATCTTCTGCCCTGTGTAAGAATGTCCTCATAGAGGTGTGCATTAAAAACTGAAATGTGGTAGAGACAAGCAAGGACTTGTCCTATGTGCTCATCTGTACTTGGCTGAGATATCATGTGTAGGCTGGCCCCTGATTTGGCTTCTAATATCTATGTTGTTTTTAGGGATGTTTTGTGTTGCATTTAACTGAAAACGTACCTATCAGTACTGGATACATACATTACATAAACAGTTTAGACATATGCCGTTGTCAGTGATTTTTTATGGTTTCAGGGTTTGTTCCATGTGACTATGTTCCAGCTGCCAAGTCTCTTTTTTATCACGGAAGTGTCAGGCACATTATCTCTGTGTAGAATCTTTATTTGTTTATTTTTAAAGAATGATAAGGGAAACTGAAACAGTGGTTTTGTCACTTACTTAGGTTGCCCTCTAGGTCCTTCACAGCTGTGAAGACCTTGGTTGTTATCTGCAGTTTGAAAATGGGTTATTTCTGGTTTAGAAGAGTCCATGGGTCAAGCTCCATGAAGGTGCCTGTTCAAGCAAGAGCTGTTAGACATCAGGAAATATAAGATTCACCAAGTTTAGTTACTAGGTCTGGTTCTGAGACACAGGAAAGAGCTCATATTTGAGATGGCCTGTGGACTCATATTGGAAAGCGGGATCAGCTGGTAGCAGTCTGGCTCCCAGAAACTGGACAGAAGCCACAAAGTCCATATCGCCATCATGCAGAGGATAAACTCGGTATCCTCAGTTTTCTCGTTGCACCTGCCAGTCTCACATGGCATCTTCTGAAGCAGTACCCACAATATCTCTTCTCTTTTGATTTTCACTGGCACTTATCATTCTTTTTCAGATCTTCCTGAAAGTGGCTGATGATAGCGGTGTGGATGCAGAAACCTCAGGTGGGTGTAGTTGTTCCCTACAGAAGTGACACATACCAAGGTGTGACAGAGCCTGATTGAGACTGAACTGAACCTCTTCTGTTCTAGTATTTTTAATGACCTGAAGTAGCTGGATTTAGTGTATTTAATGCATGCTTTTATGTGCTGTAAAGGTCAATTGACTCAGTAGCATATTTATTTTGCAATAGTGAAGAGTTTCTGTTGTTTGAGTATATTGCAAATTACTTGACTGACACTGTTTTCTGCTCTGAAGAACACCTAGTGCATCAGACCACAGTAGGGTCCAAATTACTTTCTCTTTTTGAGAGCAGATCACTGCACTGAGTGCTCATAATAGCAAATTGCACTTGTAGTCACATGACTACATATGACTCTCGTGTGATTGCAGAATGGCTGTCTTGGTTTTGTTTTTACCTGCACTGAAGTCACTCCAGGTCAGCTCTTCAGTTTGCAAATGGAAGACGTGTAAAATGAAAATGATATTGCTTTGTTTTTTCTGGGGCTAGCTGGAGATGAACTGAAGCTAACCATAACTGCATTATTTTCAGATGGTACGTTGCCAGCCAGAAGGAACAGACGTGTGTTTGGAGACAGACAGAGCTGCCTTCGTCCGTTTACAGAAGATGATGCATTTGATCCTAATGACTCAGACATAGATCCAGGTATTGCTGGAGTTCAAACCTGTTTTCTTTCTGTGGATGCTCTTTCATATTATAAGTACTGCAGATCTAAAGGCTGAGTCTGCCAAAGGAGTGGTGATATATTTGCATTTAGAAACAGTGGACAGTGCAGGATGCACAGCCTGCTCAATCCTCCCATCAAAGCTCAGAGATAAGGGAGAAAACACATTCATGTAAATTTCTGTTGTTATTGCTGCTGACTATGCTTTTTTGGTTTTGGTGAGTGAGAGTGGCTGCTCCAGCCACCACCTTGTGTCTTCAGCACAGACAGCATCTCTGAACTTTTGAATGAGGGTCATTTCTTCTTGCTAGCAGAATCCAGAGAGACAGACCTTCTCAGTGGCATGGATGGGAAAGGCTCCTACCAAATGAAGGGCTGGAAGCTCACCCAGCAGCAGTTCATGGCTCTGTTGTGGAAGAGGATGCTCATTGCCAAGAGAAGTCGGAAGGGCTTTTTTGCCCAGGTGAGAGCTTCCAGCATGAGTAAAGTTCCTCATCAGGGACAGCTCTGGACTGTGTATTGTAGTCTGACTTGATTGTGGGCTAAAAACCTCAAGGGAATGCAGATAACCAAAATTAACCTTCACTGCACATGGGGGCAGAAGTGAAGCACTTTCCTGTGCAAGTGAAAGGAGTTGTATGATAAACCATGTGATTACAGTATTCTTGCACGGCAGAATGTAATTTTGCCCTTGAGAAGAGCATTTGCAGCTAAATCCTCTGCAACTGAAGTGAATTCCAAGACAGATCTTGGATTGGTGTCTAGCACTGCTTTGGTGTAAATAGCAAAGGTATTCCTGGGAAATTTTGAAAAAGTTTTGATCCAATAAGTGAATCATATGTAGCTCCTGATGCCTCTGGAAACATTTGCTTATAAAAAGGATGTGTTTTTTCCTTACAATTTCAGATTGTGCTGCCAGCTGTCTTTGTGTGTATTGCTCTCATGTTCAGCCTGATTGTTCCTCCTTTTGGGAAGTATCCCAGCCTGGAACTACAACCCTGGATGTACAATGAGCAGTACACTTTTATTAGGTATGTTTTGTGTGGCCTATAAATTATCTTCTCTGTGAACTTGAGTTACTGATTTCCTTAACAGGTTGCTTTGGGTTTTATGCTTATCTCAGAAGCACATTTGTTCAACTCTCAAAGAGAGTTGTGGTGTTTTCTTCTTTGACCTTTAAATCAGCTCTAAACCAGCTCTAAGTAGAGGCAAGGTCATATCCATTTCTGAATGGTGCTATCACTCTCCTAATAATACTGTGTACAAAGACTTGGAATGTGTGTGTGCTCTTAGACCAAGCATTCTTGGGTAAATCCCTGCCCACATCCTTTCACTGTGCTCTGTTGCTTCTTTTGCTGTGTGCTTTTACCACACTGACTGATAATGTTTTACTGCTGTTCCCATAGCAATGATGCTCCAGAAGATGCAGGCACTCACAACCTTTTGGATGCCCTTCTTGATAAGCCAGGGTTTGGGACACGCTGTATGCAGGGACATTCCATCCTGTAAGTAGAATTCTGGTCTGGCAACAGGAAACACATCCCTGGTAGTTCTAGCTGACTTTAGGAAATTGTAGTAATGCATGGTCAGAGCAGGATTTAAGCCAAAAGACTTGTAATTACATTCAGTTTTTCTGCTGAGAACCTTTTTCAAAGTTGCCAGCTCTCAGTCTGGTGAGGAAGTTGAGGTTTGAGTGCAAGTCCTTGCTGATAGAGATGGAAAGGAGAGAGCAAATGACTCTAGTTACTGTTTGATCCCAAACATGGTGAAGGACCTATTTGTTGGTGTATGTTATTGACTGTAGCTATTCCCACTACACAGTCCTTTGTTTCCAGCTGAATTAGAAACCTGAGTTAGCACCCCACAAACACCAGCAAAAGGAGTGGAGAGCCAGAGAGCATTTGTTGTTTCCTAACTCTGCCACCTGACTTGGTGCACGGCCTTGGGCAAGTCACTGAAGATCTAGTCAGTGAATGTAGAAGAGGTACACACTCCAAGAGTCCAAGATGGTGTGTCCAGAAGACCTGCAGCTCCTGATCACAGGATGATGGGGAGGGAGGCAAGGTGTCTGATATAATGGCCAGTGGTGGAAAGTAAGCTGCATCCTTCATAACAGGCATGAAAGCCTAGCTATTCCACCAGTGGGCCATGGGGAAAAAGCTGCCCACTGCTACCTTGGCAAAGAGCAGTGTTTTGATGCCCCAAAGGCAGAAATATATTCAAGGAGTCATCCAAGAAGATTGTCTTCTGTGATCTTAAAATCACAGGATATCTCAAGTTGGAAGAGACCCATGAGAATCATTGAGTCCAACTATCTGCTCTTCGGAGGTCTACTTTTAACTAAACCATGTGACTAAGCACATTCACCAGATGCTCCCTGAACTCTGGACAGTGTGCCTGCTCAGACTGACTGAAACAAAGCATTTAATTATAATGCAAAGAGGGGAGTGTCTGACCCTACAGTGTTGGCCAGACTCAGTTTCTTTGGCAGTGGGATCTGTTAAAAGCTGCAGTCTGATCTGTTGCTCTGAGCTGTTTATCTCTGTGAGGTCAAGCTCCTTTGAGAAACACACTGCCTCTTCTGGGGACTGTGGAGTTGGATCTTTAAATCTCTTGTAAGCAAAGGCCATCATATTTGTCTTAAAAACTGCTTTTTTCTTGCCTCTTTCCAAACACAGGGACACTCCTTGTACTGTGGGGCAGAAGGAATGGACCACTGCTTCAGTCCCAGAGTCAGTGCTGGACATCTTCCTGAAAGGCAACTGGAGCATGGAAAATCCTTCCCCATCTTGCGAGTGTAGCAGTGAGAAGATCAAGAAGATGCTGCCTGTGTGCCCCCCTGGTGCAGGGGGCCTGCCACCCCCACAGGTAGGAGGGAGCTGAGTGGTACTGCAATGAGGAATACTCATGAGGAGCAGAGTGGCTAGATATGATTCTTGCATGCAGCATTGTATGAGATTTATTTCAGTCAGCACCTGTGTTTTCTGATGAGCATTTATCTGTGTTTTCATGGTGACACCAGCGTGAGCAAGACACAGCTGACATCCTCCAGAATCTGACAGGCCGCAATATATCAGACTACCTAGTGAAGACCTATGCGCAGATCATTGGGAAAAGGTAGCTGTTGAACACTCCCCCTTCCCTCCCCGACAAACCCTGCTTGCTCTATGGGTGATGCACAGATCAGGCAAATAAGCCTGGGCAGCCCAAATTCTTCAGTAGTGAGCCAGATCCACTCAGGTCGTCAGATAGCCCTGATCCTCAGCTCAAGTGATGTTTCTGCTTTGTGAGTGATTCTGTGTGCTGACCCTCATAGGCAGATTACGGGGGAAGCTAAGGGATTACACTGAAGAAGAATGATAGGAGCTATATCAGATATGATAGGCTATTGCACTCTTTCCTCTGGCTATGTGCCTGCAGCTTTGTTAGGTCTGTCTCTCCTCTGGTTCAGTATTATATATCAACTCTTTTTTCTCTCTGCAGCTTAAAGAATAAAATCTGGGTGAATGAGTTCAGGTGAGTTACTGCATTTTCCTTAGCTTGTATATGTCCACTAAACCTTGAACACAGTGTTTAGCAGGATACATCCACCCTGCTTTGCAGTTTGTGTTATAGGGTTTTTAACTGCCAGATATTGGAGGAAGATGTTTAAGGATAAACTGGGACAACCCCAGAGCACTGGACAGCATGTCCGCATTATGCAGAGAGCAGTCTTGAAAAGATTTGCATGACCAGTGTGCTGGTACTCTGTTCTGTAAGGTGCTATTCTTCCAAGTGAGGGCAGCAGGGAGACATCCTGCTTTGCCTACAGCAGAGAATAGCTGCCTTTGGACTGCATGCTGAGTACTCGTGATATGAGTGTTTAACCTCAGAAATAAAGAGTAGAAAACTTCATGGCTAAGCAGCCATGTAGGAGGATAAAAGTCATTCCCTTTGTGTAAGAGTGGAGATGCTAGCCTTGCATTTACTGCAGGAAGAGGAGACATAGACATGGAGAGGGATAAGGAGTAGCATTTTGTGGAGGTCCATGAATAGTCATGTCTTAGCGTCACTTTCTATCTGAACTTTCAGGTATGGTGGCTTTTCCTTGGGAGCCAGCAGTTCCCTTGTGCTTCCTCCAAGTCATGAAGTCACTGATGCTGTTAAACGGGTGAAGAAAATTTTGGAGCTGGCGCAGGTGAGCAGTTGTCCCCCATGAGCCCAGGATGCACTAAATACTGAGTCTTGTTACTTGGGAGATGACTTGAAAGCCATAAAATGAGAAACATGTGTATGTTAGCTGTGTCCACTGACTTCTCCCCGCTACCTCTGAGCTGGAATCTTCCAGGCTGTTGTCTGGGAGTAGTAGAAGTCTTGAAGACATGCTCAGCTGAAGCTTGCCCAGCTCATGTTGCTGATGTGGGTTCTGCCCAGCACCAGTTGCAAGCCAGTGGGAATTGCAGACATCTGAATGTTTTGTGGCAGGACAGGGTGGGCTGTCTTTTGGAATTAAGAAGTGGTTGCTGCCATTTTCAAAACCTCAGTTGAACCTTGATGGGAATTCTTTATGTGTGGAGACACGAGGTTTGACTCTTGTGTTTTTCAGAAGGCTGATTTATTATCTTATGATATATAAATTAAAATACTACATTAAAACTATACTAAAAGAACAGAGAAAAATATCATCAGAAGGCTACAAAGAACAAGAATAGAATGAATAGAATACATAAGAAAATCTTGTGACTCTGAGTCCGATGTAGTCGCATCTGTGATTGGCTCTTAATTAGAAACAACTAACATGCACCAATCACAGATGCACCTGTTGCATTTCCCAGCAGCAGATAGTTATTGTTTACATTTTTTTTTCCTGAGGCTCTCAGGAGGGAAAAATCCTAGCAAAGGATTTTTCATAAAATATCATAGCTACAGAACCTTCCTGTGCTGAGCCTGCCCTGGCTCAGAAGAGAATTTGGGCCACTGTTTTCCTCTGAGACTGCCTGCCTGCAGGCTGCAATATCTCTGAAGGTTGCATGCAACTTCGGTTAATACGTTTTGCAGCGAAAAAACAAGGAATAAGACTGACTCTTGTTACCGGTGTGACTACAGAAAGGAAAGGGTGAAGGGAAACCACAGATACTCAGTGGTTTCTTACCACTTACCTTCTTACCACCTCCACTTTGGCGGGTAGAGGCTGTTGAATTGGCAGAAAGCTGTCAGAGCTGTGAAAAACATTGTGTAGTCTCTGTTATACCCCAGGGTATGACTAAAGGTATTCTTAGAGGGGAAGTAACTGTCTCTTTGATGTTTGCAGGGGAGCTCTGGGGATCGATTTCTCAACAGTTTATCAAGTTTCATGAAAGGCCTGGATACAAAGAACAATGTGAAGGTAAATTAACCAATCTTCATTTCTGTGCCTGCTATTTGAAGCTCTGGTGACTTGGAGTTACAGCAGTTTGTCTTGGAAAACTTTATAGACCAGAGATCTCTGTATTTGTAATGGAGCAAATGTAGCTTGTAGTTTTATGCAGACTTCCTCAAAATCTGTTTCTCCTGTAGAGTCTAGGCCTGAATGCCAAAAAGAGTTCAGTGCTGAATCAGTGATAGCTTCCAGGAGCCTCTTGTGTTTATTGATTGAACGGTGTGTTCTGCCCCTGAGCAAGCTAGCTGGAGTGATATGGAAAGAAATATACCCTCAACAGAGGAAGGGATGTTCTGAAGGGCTTAGGAAGCTTTTGGGTAGCTGATGTACCTGATGCCTTTCTGATGTTGATGTGGTGTCCCGTAGGTGTGGTTTAACAACAAGGGCTGGCATGCCATTGCATCCTTCCTGAATGTGATCAACAATGCCATCCTTCGGGCCAACCTCCAGCAGGGTGAAAATCCCAGTGCTTATGGGATCACTGCCTTCAATCACCCACTCAACCTCACCAAGCAACAGCTCTCTGAAGTAGCTCTGTAAGTAGTGACATGACTATGGATGGGTTTGGCCTTATTGCTGAAATGACTGAAAATATGACTGAAAACAAGCAAATGGGAGGTTTTGGACCTACTGGTGGACAGTCAGTGGCCTCTGCCATTTAGGCTCTTAACACGCAGGCCTTATTTTATCTGGTCTGGGGAGGTGGCAACCTGTGATGCTGAGAACTCACTCTTGAACAGCACTTGTGTACAAACTTTCTTTGTCCTCGAGTCCCTGGAAGCTGCAGTTTTTAAGAACCAGACCTTCTGCAACTCAGGAAATTCCTCTCAGCCACCTTCAGAAAGGTGTCTCACCATAAATACGGTCATTCTTTTGTCCTCACCATTTGACTAGGAACCACTAATAGGTCCTGTTGAGTCTTTCTCACTGTCTCAAGCTGGGGGGCACACAGTAATGCACAGGATTAACTTCACTGAGGCATTGACTAGTTCACTGTCACTACAATCTGAGTCAGAACTCATAATCTGTGTGTATATATGTCCTTCAATCCATAAAACAGTGGCAGATAATGGGAAGATACTGCTCAACTTTGAAACGACACCAAAAAAAGACAAACCCCAATAACCCCAGGAAATGGATTATGTGGGAAACAAAGTGGTGGTAATAAGGAAAGCAGAAAGCAGTCTATTATGCTGAAGTTATTAACCAGTCTGCAGGTTGTGATGCTGTGTTTGAGATGCCAACAGACTGTGTATGTTCCCTTTGTTATATGGCTGGAGAAGAGCTGTGCAGTTAAGAGAATCTTGCATGGTAATTCATTACTCAGGATTCTGAGTATAAGGACAGACTAATGACAGCAGAAGTAGTTTCTGCACTGCCCTGCATGAGCTGCCTCATTTCATCTCAAAGGATCCAGTACCAGTATACAAACAATTTGCTTTCTTCCTTTTTTTATCCAGGATGACCACCTCTGTGGATGTCCTTGTGTCCATCTGTGTGATCTTTGCTATGTCCTTTGTTCCTGCCAGCTTTGTGGTTTTCCTTATTCAGGAACGTGTCAGCAAGGCTAAACACTTGCAGTTCATCAGTGGTGTGAAGCCTGTTATCTACTGGCTGGCCAACTTTGTGTGGGATATGGTAAGGACTTAGGCTGGGCTAAACTATCCTCCATTCTGTTTTTCCAGGGTGTCTTGAAGTGCACAGTGCAGTTTGTTCCAGTGGGCACCATGTTATTTCAGTGAATAACAGCTGTGGCTATGGCTTTTGTGTTTCGCTCATGGGGCAGTGCTTTGTCTCAGTGGGTCAAGGAGTATAACAGAGGATGGAAGGGCAACCATTAAGTTCAATCATTAGCATTTATTACATCAATCTAAAATACTTGCCCAAAAATGTTTGTTTGTGTAGCCCTTTGTTCTGCTCTGTCCAAAGCAGGTTTTCTCAACCTGTGGTGTCTGAAACCTCTGAGAGTCTACTGACTACTTCTAGAGGGACCAAGAAATGTAAATTCATGTGTACTGTATTATGGTTCACACATATGACACTTTTAAGAGTTTCCCATTGAAAACAGCTTTGGGAACACTGAAGAGTTTTGAAAACTATTGGATTAGAGCAGAAAAAAAATCTCTTCTTTTTTTTATGTCATCTGGAAAGAAATCTAAAGTCATGTTTTTCACCTTCTAGTGCAACTACATTGTTCCGGCCACACTAGTTGTCATCATCTTCATCTGCTTCCAACAGAAGTCCTATGTATCCTCCTCCAACTTGCCTGTGCTGGCTCTCCTCCTGTTTCTCTATGGGTAAGGGATTTCTTATCACAGGATGACTGGGAAGGCTCTTAAACTTGGAAGGTTCTTACCTGATGTTGCTGCCTTTTCTCTTGCCAGGTGGTCCATCACCCCTCTCATGTATCCGGCCTCCTTTGTGTTCAAAATCCCTAGCACGGCATATGTTGTGCTGACCAGTGTGAATCTCTTCATTGGCATCAATGGCAGTGTGGCCACCTTTGTCCTGGAGCTCTTCACCAACAATGTATGTTTTTCCAGAGGCTCCTCAACTGTCTTGTGCTGCTCCAGTCTAGTTCCATGTTGGTTCCTTGTTGGTACAGGTTCTTCATCTGGTGCCTTTAGCAGCCAGATCTCCAGAAAAGCTAGGCCCTGTACGCATTAGTTTCAGCTAATGTTTAAACACAGTTTAAACTCAGGTTCTGGTGGAAATGGGTTAAAACCCCCTTTAGAAAAGCTTGCAGAGTAGTTAAGGTGGGGAAGGAGCTCCTGAATTGTCTAGTCCAACCTCTGAACAAGGTTTGGCTACAACAGTGTATTGGGTTTGAATGGCCTGTTTTTTTGTAGTAGGTGGCAAAGTCAAACTGCTAAGAGCAGGTTGCTCAGGGCCATTGGACTTTAACATTTCCAGGGAGAGACTCCACAGTCTCTCTGGACAACTTTTTCTACTTTTCAGTCATTCGTAGGATGAAAAAATAAATAGAATTTTCTTGTATTCAGATGGGATTTCTTGTATGTTCTTAATGAAGGGCATTTTCCATCTACAAAAGCCATTTAATCACCCAACTATTTAGTTGCCTTAAAGTTTGCCTCCTATTGTAGATACCTCTCTAGCTATGGGAGTTTATGGACTTCAGTTTTTCAACACCAGAAAGGTGTTGAAACTTGTACCTGGGAAAGGTACAAGTTCCTCTCATGCTTGTAGAAAACACACGATGTCTTAGCACTGTCTGACCCACAGTGGTGTGAAGTGTTCCTTGTGGGAGGAGGCTCAGCAGATGCCACGGGAGTTACTTGTTGATTGTTCCTCTTCCTGTGGGCATAAGGGCGCAGTCCTTTTGTTACAAAGCCTGTTCTAGCTCAGTAAAAATCAGTACACGCTCAGAGATGAGTACCTGGCACAGCAGGAACTCAGGGTGCTATCAGTTCAATCCATGGACTAAGCCAGCTGTAAGACAACAAAGAAAAAGTATTAGAGCTTCTAATATGGGACAGGAAGCAACTACCTACAGCCACTGACGTAACCAGTCTGTTCAAGTTAAACTTCCCTGTGTCCTCAGCCAACAGCCTTTTTGCATATTGCTGTTTGCAGACACTGCCTTTTAGACTGTGAGTATTTAGAAAAACCTTTTATTGCAGTTTGCTTGTGTTAATAGCATTGTGAGCAGCACAACAGCACTGACTGTCCAGAGGAGCCATGGCCCTGGCTCTTGGGAGAACATTTCTAATCCTTGGATTTTTGTGGGGTTGCAGTGTTGGAAAAGGGAAGGAGGGGTCAGTCACAACACACTCTTGGGAAGTGGTGGCTGCTTTTTGCTCAGCTGGCTCACTGGCACTTGAATTTTTTCTTAACAGAAACTCAAGGACATCAATGACATCCTGAAGTCTGTCTTCCTTATCTTCCCTCACTTCTGCCTGGGCCGCGGACTCATTGACATGGTGAAAAACCAGGCTATGGCTGATGCTCTGGAGAGATTTGGTAAGTGAAATTGTGTTTCACTCATATAATGGCCTGAAAGGAACAAAGAAATGTAGAGTCTTCTCCAGACAAGCTTCTCTAACTTTTCAGGTACTGAAAGCGCACATTTTGCAGTACAGACCTGGTCAAGATGGCAAGTCATCATAGCCATCCGCTCTTAACTTGTTAAGAGAAACTGGTAGATAGATCCAAAGATTTTTGACTTGAGAGCATTAAATAAAAATGCATAAAGACAACTGAATAGATGTCATTAGGCCTATTGTAAGGAGTAGCTGGGGTTCTGGAAAACTGGAAGGTTTTTTTTCTGGCATGCAGATGTCAGGTCTGAGTCACAGTCTTTCTGTGCTTCACTAACCCTTTGGACAGGTGGGCTAGCTCTTTGGCAGACTGAACCCTCTGGGCCTGAGTCCCAGCTTCGCTGCAGTAAAAAATGTGCTTGCAGCCACAGCTGGCCCCTTGTGTGGTCTAACCTTTCCCTCTTGTAACTGGCTGATCACCACTTGTCCCAGTGCCCAACTTGGTGAGCTCTGCTGGAAGAAATGCTAGCCTGCTCTCCTTGCCCTGGAAAAATGATTGTGCTTTTAATCTCATTTTGGCAGGAGAGAATCGGTTTGTGTCCCCTCTGTCATGGGACCTGGTGGGAAGGAACCTCTTTGCTATGGCAGTAGAAGGTGTGGTGTTTTTTCTCATCACAGTGCTCATCCAGTACAGGTTCTTCATCAAACCCAGGTAGGTTGTCCTCTGTACTGTGCAGCTACAGGCAGGTGAAGTTTTTGTTGGTGTCACCTATGAAATGGGGAGAATATTACCTATGAAGGCCCTGTCATTTTCTGCTAAGACTTTTTCCATGTTGCTATCTTCAGGCCTGTGTATGCCAAGCTGCCTCCTGTGAATGATGAAGATGAGGATGTAACCAGAGAGAGGCAGAGGATAATTAGTGGAGGAGGACAGAGTGACATTTTGGAAATCAAGGAGCTAACCAAGGTGACAGTACTTCTGAATTCATGCTCATTGACACAAAACTATGCAGTTCATTGTGCCTTATCAGAGGAATTTAGTGGGATCAAAACTGGATTGAGTTGGGAGTACTGCAGTTGTACAGCTATGATTAGAATTCTTTGACATTGTCCTTCTCATTTTTTTTTCTTTTGGTTTTAGATTTACAGAATGAAGAGAAAGCCAGCAGTTGATAGGATCTGTGTTGGAATCCCTCCTGGAGAGGTAAGCTTATTTGTTAAATGGATTGTTTTGCTGTTACGGCAGTATTTAGGAGCCACAAGACAGCAGAGGGTAGAGTAAGATCAAATCCAGATGAATGTTCAAATCGCACCAAAGGAAAGTAGAAGCTGAAGCAGTTTCTGGTTCTGTGTCTCTGCCTTTGAAGAAGATATTTAATTCTCAGTATCTGGGACAAGAAGCCAAACTCCAGTATGCAAGGTTTGGCACAGATGAACTGCAGTGACAGGGTATCAAGGTGACATTACAATTTGTTCATCTTCCCAGCCTAAAGGTTTATACTTGAATTAAAAACCCAGAAGTTTGGGGGTTTTTTTCCTGAAAATGGACTTCAGAGTCCCTCTAGCTGTCCTGACAGTCAGGTTTGCTTCTTCCCATCTTGTCAGTGCTGAAAATTATGCAGTTGGGTCCTGTTCTCAAATATGCTGTGTTCATTTATATCCCCAGTGCTTTGGACTCCTGGGAGTAAATGGTGCTGGCAAGTCATCCACTTTTAAGATGCTAACTGGTGATACAGATGTGACGGGAGGAGAAGCTTTCCTCAAAGGAAACAGGTGAAAGACAGTAAATATTTTCTCTGCTTTGTCCTCTAATTTTAACAGCTTTTTTTCCAAAACACTGAAAACATCAAAACTCTCTTCTACTTTTCCTGTTTACTACTCCTGGCATCTGTTTCAGCCCTTGTTTGAGTCTGGTAAAGTATGTCAGTGGCTTGGGAAAGTTGATTTAGTCTGGTAGTCATTTCCGTGTAACAGCTCTTCCAAGTTTAAATAATGTCACTTAAAAAAAAAAAAAAAAAAAAAGGAGAAAAGGGAGAGAGAGAAAAAGTAAATTGATCAAAATGGACTTCTATGATTCTGTATTTTTGTTAGTTCAGTAATTCCAGAAACACTGTTTCACACGGTTTTAACATCTAAATTAGCAGCATATGCTCATGAAATCCTAACAAAGTCTTTTTTGTTTTACAGTATCTTGTCCAACATCCAGGAAGTCCATCAGAACATGGGCTACTGCCCACAGTTCGATGCTGTTAATGAACTGCTGACAGGGCGAGAGCACTTGGAGTTCTTTGCACTCTTGAGAGGTGTTCCAGAGAAAGAAGTCTGCAAGGTAAATGAAACACCACAGGACCCACCCCCATGACCAACTCACAAGTTCTTGCTTGCATGCACCATCCCTGCAACTCATGTAATGCCATGATGTGAAGCTGTTGAAGATAGTGTAGAGTGAAATCTGCCCCCCTTTTCTTCAGGGAAACCCAAGAGTTCCTCTGTTTTTTCAGTGTTGCCTGGAAAACTGTACTAAATGGAAGGGCTGATAATTTGGATCCTGTGTTCTCATAGTGAATGCTCTTTTCCACTGAACAACTTTCTTCCTTTCAGAATTTAAGGGCTGTGGAGCTGCAGGTCACTGTCAAGTGTTAATTCTTTAAAGTCCCTGGAAACAAACAAACACTATATGCTTAGCAGAAGCCTTGTGCTGAGTTTTAAAAGCTTTCCAGTTGATCATGGTGCATCATTAAAGTGCTGCTATTTCAGCATTCAGATATGAGGTTACAATTACAGTCTTCAGGCAGGTGATGACAGCTGCCGGTACCATGCAGCACCCTTCTCAGTACTGTTTCCTGGAATTAAGTTTTTACTGTATGAGACCTGAGTGCTCTAGGTAGATGATATCTAGGGTAATGTCCAAGTAGCTTGAAACCTTCTGTAAGGGTAGATGTGATGAGTGGAATCTGCAATCTCCTTCTAAGATTGCTGCAAAGTTCTTCCATGTGATGTTCTTACCAGCTCCATATAAAAAGGGACCCAGTTCTGTTGTGATACGGCACAAAATGAT